GGAAAGTTAAAGAATCAGTATTTCTGTTAATGCTCTGGATAACAAAACTAAATGCTCTTCTCAAATGTATAATCCATTATATACAGATGTCTGAATTTAAAAATGTATACACTTGCACTTCAGAAATATATGATCACATGGCCAATAGCAAATGTTAATGAGGACACATTTTCACATTTCAAGAGAGTGTTGGTCATTCAAATTGTCTCGCTCAATCTTCAATAACCACAGTAATCATTTTTACAGTTACTGTAATTGGAAGTACAATAATCACATTAGCAGCAGAAATGCAGGCTTGCTTTCAGGTTAAGAAAACAAGGCACAATATAATCATTCTGAACGTGATCCAACACTCATTATGAATTGTTATGTCAAAGAATTCTTATCAGTGTGTTTAATACTGCACATATCAGCACTGAACCAAATGGCAATGTGATAGTTTGGGGACTGTACAGTCTCTGTAGAACATAAGGTAATGAGATGCTATGAGAGTAGTTACAAATAGCACAGTGATAAAATATGCCTGTAAGGTATAACTTTATCATTACATATGTAAATTTCACCACATTTAGTAGAATGCACGTTGGGAAAACAAAAATCACACCTTGTGTTTAGCTGTGACATTTGCTAAATTCATGTGTCACAATCTTAGCACTTGGCATCACTTTCTCCCATGATAAGACTGTCTGGGAGGTCTGCAAAAGCTGTGACTCTGTTCCTTAGCCAAAACATACACCATGTGTATTCCTGCAAAAACCAGGCACATCGATTCTTTGGTTTCTCATGATATTTAGTCCTCGTCATGAAAAGATTGCTTCTGGACAGGAATCTCCTCACAATATTTCTTTCTTCCAGGAGCAGTGCTAGGGCAATCATGTGTTTATGCAGATTCTCCCCTACCAAGGCTATTCCTCAACTCCAAATTCTTCACAGCTCTGACAAGAAGTCTTTAGCTTTCTCATGAAATTACTAAATTTCTCACCTGGTTCCTGGCTAGTTTATCTCTTAGTAAGAGATCTTTTCTATGGATTTAATAGTCCCCTCTAGACCCCAGAATAGAGAAGCTTCTTATTAAGACCTTTGAACAATTGATCCTTTTTCTGTCAAGCCATTCAAACTGTTTTTCTTTTCAAGAAGTTTTTCCTTTCCTCTTGTTCTCCATTACCAGCTTTCATTCCCCCTCACAAAGCCCACAAGTCACCACAAAAATGGCATGTAGTTGGGCATTTGCATAGACCTCCAATGGGGTTTCTCAGCCTCAGTACTCCTTCTGCCCCTTTCAGCAACATAGACTTCTCCATTAGGCCCACCTATACCTGCCTTAAAAACAAGATAATGAGGATGATTGTAATTTTTATCTTGAAGCTAAACAGTCAACTGCTGTTGTGGTGTAACCTGGCAGCAGCTCTCACCACACAGCCATTCGTTCACTGCCTCACTGCTGGATGAGGGAGAGAACTGGAAACAAAATAGAACTCATGGGGTGAAATAAGAGCCAATTATTAAGACAGAAGGGGAAAGTAGAAACAAAAATGCAATGATAACAATATGCAGCCACACAGCACTTCCTTACCACTGGCCGACCAATGCACAGCACCAAAATGACACCCTGCAGTAACGCAAGGACTCACTCCGATGACCAACTCACAGCATCCCAAGCAGCAGCCAGGCCCTGTCCCACTGCCTGCAGCTTTATACCCCTTCATGTGGTGCCATGCGGTATGGAATGACCCCAGCCTCATAAGATGATCAGAGGGCTGGAGCACCTCTCCTATGAGGAAAGATTGAGGGAACTGGGCTTCTTTAGCTTGGAGAAGAGAAGGCTCCGGGGCAACCTCATTGTGGCCATGTGGGGTGTATAAAGAGGAGGGACAATGACTGTTCACGAGTGCTAGGACAAGAGGGAATAGCTTACAACTGAGACAGGGGAGGTTTATGTTAGATATTAGGAGTAAGTTTTTCACTCAGAGGGTCGTGACACACTGGAACAGGCTGCCCAAGGAGGTAAATCTCCATCCCTGGAGGCACTCAAGGCAAGGCTGGATGTGGCTCTGGGCAGCCTGGTATAGTGACTGGCAGCCCTGCACACAGCAGGAGCCTTGAAACTAGATGATCACTGTGGTCATTCTCAACCCAGGCCATTCCATGATTCTATGATTCTATGATTGTATGTATCTGTACTGGCCGCAGCCTGCCCCTACCCTGCACCATCAAGGCAACAGCTCTACCACCAAGCAGCCCGAGTGTGTTCCCATCACAGCAAGAATCAAAATAGCATTTTACAATTAATGTACTTTGGGCTGAAACCAGGACAAATGTGCACATCTAATGTTTTGCATAGACACATACATGTTCATTTCTCCCATTTAAATCAGTTCCTGAATCAACCAAAATATCTAACAGCAGTTCTATTAGACTAAACCAAACCCTAACCCTAACCCCACCCCTAGCCCTAACCCTAACCCTAAGCCTTAACCCTTCACCCTAACCCTTAACCCTTAACAGTTAACCCTAACCCTTAACACTACCCTAACCCTAACCCCAAAACCCTAAAAATTACATTCAGTTGCTTGGGGCTTTGCTTTCATCTCACCTTTGAATACATGTGGTGTTACCATACATATTCAGAACCTGTTCAGGAAATATTCCCTTTCAGTTTTTGCACTTTCTTACACTTGGAACCAAGTACTATTTTTTTTTTTAAATTGCTGTTATTATTTTTATTTTTTGTTGCATTAGGATAGGCAATTCTCATTCAATATAATGTCTGACTAGAATTCCTAGAAATCCTAGATCAGAACATATTGAACCTGCTTCGTATATATTGCATTCAAGAAGTCAGTGCTTTTCTTTTCTGTTATTCTTCTGGGGATTTTCTTTGTTTTCTCCCCATCACAGAAATCATGTTAATCAGAGCACCACATCTCACCTTAAAACTAGGCTGTCTCATTCTATTGTATTATCTATGAGCAGGGGGATTGAGTGGCCTCAACCAATTTCATAGAGAACAAGACTATTGAAAACTGAACTGAGATGTATGCCCCATTACTACATCAGCAAACCAGTTTCCATCTCCAGACCATGGGTGACAAAGCTTCATAATAATATATCACAGTATCTGAAGTTGTTTGATCCAAAAATCAGAACAGAAATGCTTTTTCATTCAACCCATTAAATAAGAAAATACAACTTTATCAAAGGCTAGATGGTAGGCTTTAACTAGCAGGCTAGATGATTTGACTTTTTACCATCAGCAAAAAAAATTCTGAAAACTGTGCAAGTGACCTTTCCCGGACAGCCATGCTGATCATTTTTGTAAAATAAATGTTCCAACCTCCACAAATCATGTCTATCTCCCCTGAATTTACTGGGATTTAAATTGAATCACCTAGTTTCAATGTCTTATTAAACTTTTTCACTCACTGTTACTAGGCCTTCTGTCCATTTCTTTTGGATAACAAAACTGAAGTCCCTGCTGATTTTTTTTGACTGTCCATAAGGTGCTGAAGAAATATGGAGACACTCCTAGCAATAACATTAAAATAACTAGGTAGGTAATAAGTAAGCAAACAGTCAAAGGGTAACAGTGTGTGCCTCCATTCCAGCTGCAGGTCTAACTGAAGAGATGTTATCACAGAGACCAGAAAAGTGTTCCAGTAAAAATTTAAACAGGCTCATGGACATGCAGCAAAATATTTTTACTTACACCAATATCATGGTGTAATCTCATTACCCCAACATTACGTTAATAAAGAAATACTGTTAAGAGCTCTTCATGCAATACCTGTAACTCAGCAAGAAAGAGAGATGGGAGTAGAGACATAACAGGAAACAACAGGAAGAACAAATCTTGGTGTTCTAAAAGAGATAAGAAAGGTACCTCACCTAATAATCCTTACAATGATTTCTGAAGTTAAGATAAAAAATGAGCAAGTTGAAATACTAGCAGGTATTTTTTGCCGTAGTGTTAACACAAGACTGTAGATTGATATTTTGTAAGGACTGATATCCCAATGACTAGTTATAAAGCAGCAATGTCTAATTTAAAAAAAAAAAAAGTTTCCTTCACTGTCATTTCACTTTTTTCATACTCTAAGCTGTACAGACTTTGAAGAAAATGAAATTTGCAACAGACTAATAAACCCCAAGCTCTGCTATGCAGTGCTGAGACAAAAATTAGGCTAAAAGTTTCCCATCACTAGAAAGAAAACGGAACTTAGATTTGATATCACTGTAGAAGCACTTCATCTTGCACCAGTGAGAGTAACTCAAATCAAGAATGTTCATTGTTTTCCTCAATTTACTTCTGAAAGTAATGCAGAAAACAGTAAATAATTGTACTGCATCTGATTTCTTTTAAGATTTTGTGATTATTACTCCTTTGTGTTTTATACCTCTGCTTCAATTGGCTCTGATGCCTCCCCTTTAATATCTGGCTCCACCTTCTTGGTATCAGTTGCTGTATCTAAGATCCAGATGAGGGTTCTTTTGTGAAGAATTCCTGACAGTTCAAAAACTTCTACATAAAGCACGGAGCACTATTCTTGTAAGTAGGTGATTAAAAAGGAATGAGAACTTATAGATGCTGATCTTAGCCAAAATTACTCAAGACTAAGCTCCCGGAGAAACGAATAAAAATATTTTTAAGTTAACAGAAAAGATGACTTTTTCTTTTCTAGAGGTATCCACAAATCAGAGGAAAAGAAAATACGTTAGAGAAAGCATGCAAGAATCCTAAACATTAATGAAAAACTAAATGTGCAAAGCAAATGCATCATTTTATAATTTTCCTAAAATTGCTTCTTTTTCAAAGATATGTAAAGCTATACTACAGAAAAGTATCAATTTATTTCACTTAAAGTACTTGCATATTGACAAGATACTACTAATTTCAAACTTTTGATAAAATTACTCTCTATTTTACATCTAAAGAGAGATAGAACTAACTAAATTGTTGCATCATTTCTTAGATAAAGAAACATAGATCTGATAATACTCACTTCTGAATTTTTCAGATCTTTTTTTCTTGTCTGTAGTAACTCTCCATATACTTTTGCTTCCTGCTTTAACCTTTTTTCATATTCTGCTAGCTCATCTTGGAGATGATCAAATAGTGTCTGGACATTTTGCTGCTTAAGCGTCACACCACATAGATTTTTCCTTTAAAAGAAAAAAATTAATTCAGTGAAGTAATCACGAGATTATCCTACACTGTTTTTCATTCTTTACATACAGATTTAATTTTAAATTTTATCACAGATAAAATGGACAGTACTCTTCCTAATAATTATACCATTTTAAAAATACACAGCAATATGATTGATCTTATCCGTGAATATTTAGACCCCGTATGACTCTATCAAGAAATACAAATTTTTCAATTTTCATAACAACTTGCATTTTTAAAAGTAAGCTTCTAGAGAATGGACTGGTTTACTACCAGACGTGAGACATTTGCTGAAATAATTGTATTCTGAGACACAGAATGAGCTCATGTCACACTGGGTAAACAATATTTTATTATTTGTTGAGACAGAAAAAGGAAGCTTCATTTGTATATACATATTTTTATTTATTTATTTATTTATTTTGTCTCTGTCTTTACCTAGCATGGTCTTTTTTTAATCAAAGACTTTCTACAGAACAAGATTTCTGCAGAAAACTGAAACATCTAAGACATGGATGTCCAGCTGTCTGGCTTGCCTGGGCTGCACTGAATGAAGATAAATTGCCTTAGGCTGTATACAAAATAAATAAAATAATTAATGTATACAAGTAATAACACTTCTTTTCATATTTTTTTTCTATATATATATTTTTTTCTTAAAACCTACAAAGAGAGTGAGCAATATAAACATAAGGAAGTGTGCTTCTCACAAAATCTTCAGTTCACAGGATTTGGTCATCATCCTTCTAATTTTATTGGCACCAAACTTCAATGAGATTTTTTTTAAAATGTTGAATTAATATATTTAATGTTCATTCTTAATTTCGTGACACAAAGACATGTCTTTATCTATTCCAAGAGTGCAAACATAATTTTTCCAAAGCCAATGGTATAAAGCACTTTCCAGGCAGGATACTTGTGATGGGATCTTTTTCAGTTTTGCAGTCAAATATGTTATTTAAATATATATATATATATATATTTGATTTTATCATTATTTTGAAAACATTGTGTCAATATTTCTTTTCTATTTCATGCCAGTAGTTGTTTTTTAGTCTTTTTATTGCACTGCTGGTAACCAATAATAAGTGAAGGAAGGGTTGTTCTTCAGAAGAAAATTCTAGGAAGTTAACTATAAAAGGATAACAATAAAGATGGACAGCAAAAGTAGGGGCTGTTTTACTTTAGACTCATCCAGCAGACTAGGCTAGATGATATGCCAAAAAAAAAAAAAAAAAAAAAAAAGGAAAAATAGCCAAGAGTAAAACTAGAAGTAGTTAGTCCTTCAATGTCAGTTTTTCTGTGAAGGTTGGAATCAGCACTCTTATGAAGAGTAACACAAAATATAACAAGAAATGGCTAAACAAAACTTACTTAAAACAGCTGGACAAAATACCAAGTGACATATCAGTCAAAATAAAATAGAATAAAGGAGAACAGCCTGAAAAAAAAAATGTCTTCTGAATATTTTTACCATTAATACTCACTAGTAACCTGGATGAAGAGATACAGTGTACCCTCAGCAAGTTTTCTGATGATACAAAGCTGAGCGAACTGGCTGATACATCAGAAGGCTGTGCTGCAATTCAGCAAGACCTAGACAGACTGGCGAGTTGGTGGAAAGGGACATTATGAGGTTCAGCAAGGGCAAGCATAGGGCACCTGGGGAGGAATAACTTCATGCATCAGAAGAGGGTAGGGGATGATCAGCTGGAAAGGAGTTCTGCAGAGAAGGGCTTGATTGTGCTGGTGGACAACAGGTTGCCATGAGCCAGCAGTGTGCCCTTGTGACAAAGAAGACCAATGGCATCCTGAGGTGCATTAACAAGAGCCAGCAAGGAACATGATCATACACCTCTACTCTGCCCTGGTGAGGCCACATCTGAAGTACTGTAACCAATTCTGGGATCTTCAGTTCAAGAAAGACAGGGAACTTCTAGAGAGTCCAGCAGAGGGCCACAAAGATGATGAGGGTCCTGGAGCACTTCCCTTATGAGGAAAGGCTGAGGGACCTGAGACTGTTCAGCCTGGAGAAGAGGGACTGAGAGGGGATCTTACCAATGCTTATAAATATCTAAAGGGTATGTATCAAAGTGTATGGGGCTAGATTCTTTTCAGTGCTGCCCAGCAGCAGGGCAAGAGGCAACACAGACAAACTGAAACACAGGAAGTTCCTTCTGAACATGAGAAAAACTTCTTTGCTTTGAGGATGACACAGCACTGGAACAGGCTGCTTGGAGAGGTTACAGTCTCCTTCTCTGGAGATATTCAAAATCCACAATGATGCTTGCCAGTATAACATACTCTAGGGAACGTGCTTTAGAAGGGCATTGTACTAGATGATCTCCATAGGCCTCTTCCAACTTCAGTGAGTCTGTAATTCTGTCCCACATATTCAGCTAAAAATCTCTATATAATATCACTTTTTTTTTTTTTTTCCAGACAATAATTTAATGCAATAATCTCTCAAAGATCTTTCAACATTGACAATATATTTAGCGAATACGATGACAGACAGCAAACTGTATTACAATGACACCAGGAATGTTTTTTCATTATTTAGTTATTCTGCACAACCCAACAATCCAAGCTATTTTCTGTTTGACATTGCATAGCAGGTTCACCTTTCTCCTTGAAGAGTAAGCCTGCTGTGCAATCAGCATATATGGCCCTCTGAGGCTTCAGTGGCCTAGAAGGCAGTCTCCATAATCAGTTAGATGGAGCCCTTTGAGACTATTTTCAGGACTCATCAGTCACAGTAAGTGTTGATCCACCCTTCTTAAAACAGAGAGAACACAGAATGAGAGGAATCCACCATTAATTAAAGATGCAACTGACCATGAATATTATTAGATTTCCAGAAGTAATATTGATACCCAAAGTTTAGTTTGGTAGGTAGACGCTGCGTCATGAATAACTTCTGCAAATGCATTACAACTACAGTCAGTAAACACACAAAAATACTTTCAAATTATTGACAAAAAGTGCATTACATTTCCTAGGAATAACTCTGTAAAATAATGAAACTACCTGTAGAAATAGAAATAAAGTAAAATTACTAAATTACTTTTACAAAAGCATTAAACTACCTTTATAGCTTCATGTAACAGGCAGATCTTACCGTAAATCGATTAACAGTTTTTCTGCATCTTCCATCTGTGTTTGCTTCATATTCCATAATTCAGCAAGTTCCTTAAGTTCATTTTTTAAATTTTCCATAGTGAGACAGTTTTCATCAATTTGACTAGAAAGAAATGATTGTTTTTCCTGGAAATTAAAAAGCATACAGCATATAAACTAGGAGGGCAAGATTTCCCAGTGCTGTATTTTAAGAACATGATAACGGGCATAAACTGTATACTCAAAGAAATAGAACTGCTTCTAGAAGGGCAGTTGAATTACTTAGCAAAACAGAATAATTGCTTTTTTATTAGAGCATGATTTTGCCAATCTAGTTATAGCCCACCAACTTGTTGCACATCTACTATATATCCACACATTTTATTATGACACAATTTTTGCAGTCACTTATTGTTGTACATGTATGTTCATAAGTTTGTAGGTCACCCTCATAAAAATACATAACATACATATCCTCTTTAATTTTTGCTCTTTTACATAGAAGTTTTTCAGATAAGCACTGCCTTGCACAGCAACAACTTTATTAATTACAATGAAAAGGAGCAATTTTAACATCTGACCAAGCCTGGGTCTGTTTATTTCAGTGCAGGCAGTGCCTTAACTGGCCATTTTTACTGATAGATCATCAAATTGCTTGCATGCTGCAAGACTGTTTTAGGCAAATACCTAAAAAACTGATCTTTAAAGAAAAAAACAAACTTTCAAATGCCACCAACTCCATGCAGAATGTAGCTTAGTCATTATCTCTGAAAACTGTCATTATTCAGTTAGTTGCCTAAATGGAGAGCTTTCTTCTTTCAGATATTGACCTTTTTTCATAACAGAGTTGCTCTGTACTCCATACTTTGGAGAATATAAGCACAGACGACAAGACGGTTAAACTCATCTACAAGTACACAACTTTTCAAAGAGATTGATATTAGGCTTTTGAAAAACACCAAGTTAAAAACTAAACTTCCTAATTCACAGAAGAGATATTACACTGCAATATCTTTTTCATTCCAAAAGAGACCAAAAAAAGAGTAAAGATTCATGACGAAAGCAAACAGTACTTCCAATAGCATCAGTATCTAGTAAAAAAACACTGCAGCTTCCTCAATAAACAAGGTAAACATAATGCACTGCAGCAGTACAAAAGTATGAAAAAGTTGAATCTATTAGTTGGGTTATACTTTTAAGGTAGCTGCATTAGATTTTGTAACCCATAGTAATGGGCCGTAAGCAGTTATGTAAACGGGTTAAATTAAGAGGGAGGAAAATACCTTTTGATTATCCCTATGCATACACACACATTCAGATAATTTAAGTATGCACACAATTATATACACTGCATGAAATAAAAAAAATTAAGATCTTAAAATTTAGTAGACGAAGAATATATGTAAATATTTTAATAATGGTCAGTATTTATTTTTTTTTTAGACACTGTACCATTTTTCTGAGGCAGTACCCTGGTACATAGCCTAATGATCATTTTCCTTATAAAGTAAGTGTTTTGTAAAGGTATAGCTAAAAGGAGGCTGAAAAAAAATGATGAATCAAAGCTCTTTTAACAGATAGGAACGTAAACACAGAAGTGCATGAGATACCTTAAGACCTCTTTCTAAAATGTAATACGTATATATATAAGATTAGGTGGAAATTTCAGGTCTCCTTCAGGAACATAGAATCATTAGAAGGAAAATGAACATATAGTAATTAACGCAAATCCCTGTGCAACCAAACTGCTCATATAGAGTCTCAAACACCTGTTAGTTTTAGGATCAGAAACAGAGGAATTTGGGGAAATGTGATAGCCTGTGGAATATGTAATATCAGAGCAGATTACTTTCTCAGGCCCTAATCTTAAGCAAATAATAAAATTTGAGATGACTGAGGTATCAGAGTTGTAGTGTAAATATATATAAAAAGAAGTTGTGACTTGTTTATTTATTTTTTTTTATTATTTTTTTGCTAAAGACAGTCAGATTCATATATGAGCTATGTTAGAACGAAACTGCCAGTGAAGAAGCATTTTGTCTCTGACATCCTGAGAAGGCAGATAAGAAGTGAAAAGGTTGGCTTCCAAGGCCAGGGAATACTAGCCATTGGGTCAGTGCAATCTGGTACCTATTACAGAAGAGAAATAACTTGCAATCAGGTTTTAGAACAGACAAATAAAAACGTTGAGTTATTCTACATTCTGTAATCTAAATATTGGTAGACTGAACAGCCCCTCCTTAGGGTCTGATGTAGCAGCTAACAGCCTAGCTCCCCTTTCACAAAACTTAATTGCTGTGCTTAAGAAATAGCAACAGGCTCTAAGAAGGTAGTACTAAGGGTATCCAAATATCGTTACTAGTTCAGTGCGCTGGAGATCTGATAAAATAGGCTTTCTACATTTTTTTGTTTCATTTCCACAGAACACTAACTGAAATATTGCTAACAGGAACAGTTATTTACAGTTACTAAGAAAGGTATTCTTAAAACTAAAGCCTAAGAATGACTTGTACTGGAAAACAGTGCAGAATTACTGAACATCAGTATGCTGATATGTATGTTGATCAGTATGTCACTTCCACATGTTCTAAGGTCTTCTGGTAAACCTGCAGTGTGCTCCATGTTTCACAGAAAGAGATGCATAAACTCTGTCTTTCCTATGAAATTTAGAAGCCTGAGTGTATCAGTGAATTCCCCAATCCTTAATTTAAGATTGTCACAAGTAGGAAGTGTCAGAGATTTTAGGAAGAAATTACCAGGTTCATGAAAGCTATTCTGAACAACGTGAAAGCTTTTTGTTTTGTTTTGTTTTTATTTTAATCTATGACTCATTTTTGAGGCTGTAATATCTAACTTAAGTTTATACATATACAAATGAAAGGATAATAAAAATGAACAATATCTTAGAAAGAAGATGCTTTCTTCTTGTAATGCTTATGAACACATTTATATAAAACATAGTGTTCAGTAATGAAATTCAGTAATTCCCTTCAGTGGATTATACAGTTTAGTAACTGATACAGCAGATATAAGCCATCATTTACAAAAAGATGCCATCTGCTGTGCAAACATGCAATTAGCAGGCACTTTCTATCACACCAGTATCGTTTTCATCTGTTATTGATTTTCTCCTTTACATTTCCAAAAACCCCTCAAGCAATCTGAGCCAGTGCAGCAAATGAAGAAAGCAAAGGACTTCCCATTGACCCTGATATCTATTCTGCTTTGCACTTTACTCTGTTTAAAGGCTATGGACCTCACACCTTAGTGCAACTACACGAAAAAAAGAAAAAAAAAAAAAAAAAGCATATGCTATATACATGTACATAGTTTCAAAGCAACTGTGTAGAAAAGACAGTTTAAGTTTTGAGATAAAATGTACTTCAAAAATGCCACGGAAACATTAAATTATTCACCTGTGTAGCATTTAACTGTTGTTGCAGAATATTTCCTTTTTGCTTCAGTTGTTGTTCTGTTTGCTTCTGCTTTTTATCTAGCTCTTGTGTTCTCTGATTCAAATAGGAGAGTTTCTGGCGGGAATATCCACAAAGAGATGTGTTATTATTCAAAACTTATTGTCTTATCTTCCAGAGAAATCAGATAATATTTTAGCTGTAAACTACTTAAGTTACTATTCTTAAGTTTACTTTTGTTTACCCCTACATACTTTTTTTTTCTATCAACACAGCATGCTCATCCACATGTTGTGTACTCTACGCTTTGAAGGAAAAAATGCACATATAAAAGAGAAAACATCTTTGGTGCTTCAAACAGTGTTTATCATCACACAACAAAATATCACTGCTCACTCTTCTCCCCAGGCTTCTTTACATTCCTTCTGCCAAGAAAGCTACAAATAAAGTTATCTAACCAAAATGCGTATTTGGAATAGCTTCCATGGAAGGAATATAAAGGTGAAATGTTTACTATTTCTTGTATCACTAACTCGTGATAAAATACAGCTAAAGAGAACTAAGAAGAGGAAGAAGATGGAAAATGCAATATTTGGATAATTCATTTTTCTATTTTTCATTCATCCAGTCTGTTATTAATTAGCACCTCAAACAAAACAGTTCTTCTCAATTATATTGATTTCATTTGCATCATTAGTGTGAGCAACAGATACTAAATGATATAAACTATTACTAATGCATGTAATTAAAAAAATTACATCACAAAATCTACTTAAATAATTGCATAACAACTGTGCTATGCTATTCAAAATTCCAAATTTCATCTTATATAACAATAAACATTAAGATAAGTATTAATATTTCCATCCTGAAACATTTTAAATCTTTAATCAATGAGAAAGTTCTTGTTTGGCATTACCAATATCTCACACATCATTCACATATAAATCTGCTCTGGCAAACTCTGCTTACAGGCTTCTATTACAGAAGCAAATACACAGCTATGGACAATGATACATAACTTATGCCACACCTCCCCAGGTTTCCAGGAAACTAATGATGTGATCTTTGTCACATTGTTTCTACTTAGTTTTAGCTAGGGAAGGGCTAACATCATTAGTCACTGCCTTTATTACACTGTTTTGAAAATACTATTAGCTATTAGAGAAGGGCTTTTTTTTTTTTCCAATTTGACATATTAAAACTGAATCAAAAATAAACTATCAAATAATTCATTATCTAAACTCAAACTATTCTACATTCTCCAGTGTTCTCCCCAAAGTGTTGAAGTATTGCTATATGCATGTTATATATATAAAGGACAATTCACGTAGAGTAACAATAAAAAATGGAGATGATGATCTCCTGTGGCAAACTACTTACTAGTAGTCAGATAACTGAACCATAAACCTGCAGAATGATTCTGTAAGAACTTATGGATGAGGCAACAGAAACTCCTGTGTCTGGGCTTTGACCAAAAATTAAAAAAAAAACATGTATCTAAACTAAAAAGGCTTGAAAGATGTTGTCCATACTTGATTGAAAGCATGAACTGTAAGATGTATGGGGATTATGGAAAAGCAATAGTTCTGTTGGGTGTTGATTTTGAAACAAAAATGAAGGTATTTTGCTTTTTCTTAACAGGAACAATGGATAAGTGAAATTTTTCTCCTCTTTCGGACACTTGAGAGATAAGCCCTTCCTTTACACTGATTATTTTCAGATCAGGTATATAGAACACATTTCCTTTGACAGAAAAAAAAAAAAACAACAATCAAGGAGTGCACATGGGGGGGGGTGTGGAGGGAAATTTCAGGTAATTTTCCCTACGCTGAAAAACTGCTTGCTTTAATGAGCATTCTAGTAAGCACTGGCCTAGTGGAAGGTGTCACTGCCCACAGCAGAGGGGCTAGAACAAGATGATCTTTAAGGTCCTTTCCCAACCAAACTATTCAATGGTCCTATGACTTCATGGTAGCATACAGAGCAAAGGCTTTGTAAGGCAAAGCTTAATTTAAGCATAATGACAACAGGACAGCACACAATTTGTGTTTTTGATTTGCACAATGATCGTTGTGAATGCTAAACTGCACATGTGACAGAAAACAGAAAACAAATGAAATATTTCCAATGTTTCTAGTTGTCAGAACCATTCCCCAAAATAAGAAAAGGAATAAGAACCTAATCAAGAAAAGGATGTACAAAAAGAATAATGCAATGTTATGGAAATGTTTTTATGAGAAAAAAAAATATAAAAAATCTTCAAATAAATTACATCCTAGCAGCTCTGTGAAGATAGTATTGGTTTCATTTAGTGTTTTTCTTAAATGTACATATATACGTATACATAATAGTCACTGAAGTGCCATTACATCTTACATCAAACTAGTGTTCATATTTTGACTATTTCCATGTCTTTTCATAAAAATAACACCTGTTTCCCACAGACATTGGTCACAAGGGGACTATCATCATTACTTAAGGAAATGATTGTCCACCTAAGGCCTCCAGTTTTAAAGACTGAGTAAACTGATCCACCTACTATTTTTCAAAACCATCCATCACTGTAATATCCTGGCTTCAAACAGTAATTTATTTAGATAACATTGCTTAATGTACATTCTGTTCTCTATCACCATTGTTGCAACACTCCTTATAAGGAAAGTTTTAAAGACCTAAAAGATTGCCAGATCTAAAAGAGGAAAGTGTAGTAACAAAAGTGCTTCACAGCCATACAATTTCAGTTGTCATTCCTGTTATTCTTTTGAACTGTTCTGGAAGAAAGGTTACTTCCTGAAAATTTTCCCAACATTTTCCTCTTAGGAAGAGTTAGCATCATTAATACATCCAGCACATGTGGGCAATACTATCGTACTAGGTCATTACTGGACCACTGGAGGAAAACATCTCTTTAGCCTTTCTTTCAAAACATGTCAGACTATGACAGTACAAATGTTTTACCAGAAGCAAAATGAATGCACAGCTTGAAAGAGAAAGGTGTACTTTATCCAAAGTCAATTCCAGTATGCTGAGGATTTGTTTTTAAGACTAAGATTTTCTGTGTCTTTTTCTTATATAAAACAGACATTTCATGAGAAAAAGGAAAAAAATCAATATCACTCACAAAGCAGAGAATGGAAAAGGGTTCCCAGCCTGCCATGGTTGCTCTTTTCAACTTATAACTTAACAAAGAGATACAAAGGAAATAAGCAACTACTAAACAGTCTGCCCTTTTGTAAGAAAGGGAATCACAAAACTTAAAAGAGAATAACAATTTTTCCAATACAGAAGACAAGAAAGGACAGGACTCCAAGGCTGAGATCAGGCTGTATGTTTTGTTGTATCACAGCTCAATCACACACCTTAACAATCAATCTCTTCCGAACTCTTCTGTTACATCTTTTTAATTTTTTTTTTTTTTTTTGTAATAACAATTAGAAAATATGTCAGGTAATGGCTCAGAATCTACCACTTTTACCTTATGGTTTTCATTAAATAGAGCTTCATTTCTTTTCAAATTTGCTTTTAGATGAGCTATGTGTCTCTCTAGCTCTTCTATTCTCTTCATATCTTCTTCTCTTTTCTTTAGCTTCTCTCTTTGCTTTTCCTCTAGCTCATCATATATGTTTTTAGTCCTGGTCTGTTTATTGAAATATACAGAGAAATACTTTTCAGTATTGAAATCAGAAGCATAAGTTAAACATGAAAAATTCAAATCTGAAAAAAAAAATTATATCCTTAAGTGAATACCTTGAATAGACCACAAAATTCTGTGTAATTCAAGTTCTCTTCAGAATGAAGGAAACTTGGCCATTAAATCAGCATGTGAATAATAAAGGCTGAATAGCCAGTACAACAGGCAAACAAACACAGAAGAGGAATCAGCAACAAACAGTATAAAATACAAGTATTATATTGAAGCAGACAATTAGTTTACAGTAATACTTAAGCAAATAGAAGAACAGAATTCCAAAAAGAGGAATTAAAATTCCAAGTATTAATGATGTTAAAAAAGGAAGTCTTTTCTGCTGGAAAATGCTATCATCATAGGAAAGTTCTCAGGGGAAAAAAAAACAAAAAACAACAACAACAACAAAAAAAACAGAAAAAGAAAAGAGAGAAAGAATATAGAATAGAAAGGAAAAAAAAAAACTGCAAAATTAAATAAACACATTTCAAGGCTGGGAAATACAACAACCAGCTTAACAGCCAGCTTACATCCACTCCGTCTTTCTCTCATCAAAAAGAAATGCAGAAAGAGAGAGAAATACTATGTACTAGCAGATACATTGTTTATAAAGTGCAGAGAGGTTTTACATACACTTGCAATTTCTACTACACCAAATTCACCATCACTTAAACTCTGTTATTTATTTGTCTAGAACTTACATGTCTAGAACCAATATCTATACATGTATGTATATATGAAGTGGAATTCAACTGCCATCATTTTGATTTCCACTTTTAGAACCAGAGTTCCAGGAAGATTACTGGAAAGAAGGAAAGGAATGACCATACACACAACTTATTCTTTTAGTTTTACGTGGAAAATAAATCCTTTTAATCCTTTAATAACTCCTTTAATAGTCTACGAACATATTCACCTTTACTTGAAGTGCTTCTAGTAGTTAATGCAACAGAACTTTCAAATTCACAATGCTAGGTGAAGATTATGGATTAAGTTTCAGGTGACAAAATGATTGGTAAGCAGAATAGAAAAGCTTCTGAGATAAGCATAAGTAATTCTGGATTGATGGTGGTTGTACTCAGATGGCATTAGGAAATTCCCTTTAGCTACCTTAGAAAAGACTCTCCTCTAAACTGCTATGCACTTTTATAGTCAGTTGTTAATAATAGGTTTTGCTCTTTCAGTAGCCTTTGCTATCATCGTTACGTTTTGTCCTATTAGGTTTTGGAAAAAAAAAATAGTAAAAGAAGTTGTAGTCGAAAATAAACATTACAAGAAGTATAAGATACTTATAAAGATGAACTCACAAGTATGAGATACTTATAAAGATGAACCTCTGTTGTGAAAACACATGAACTATGATGAAAAAAGTTCTGAGCAGCAAATTTATATCCCATTAGGGAACTGTTCTTCTGTTCCTGTCTGTAGAAGGAAAGAAGTAGGCTAGAATCACTACTGAGGGATTTTTGCAAGAACCAAGAGAGAAGGTGGCAATTTTTAGTTCCAACAAATAAAAAAAAATTATCAGCAATGAATCCAAAGAAAGTGAAGATGTTCAGAAGCAGCAAACAAAACCTGTTATGCTGCAGCAGTTGGGACAAAAAGCATTCCCTTCAGCCTTCTCTGAAGCAAAGTCTAAGAATTAGAGGGAAGCTGGGCATTAGCCACAAACACACAGGATGGTGACAACCTAAGCCTCAAGGTTTCTCAAGAAGAGGAACATTCAACACTTCCTTCTTAAGTCAGGGATGAAAAGAATTGCAAGATCCCTCCTGCAGGTTTTCTTTCTAGAAATGTGAAATGTATATACTAGGTTCTACTGTAAATTTCTTGCAAGTTCAAGGTCACCGAATGGAAGAGAACAAGCTTTATAATGGAAGAAAGATGGGGATTGAATATCCACAAGCAAATAAAAAGGATCAGATTTCTAAAAAAAAAAAAAAAAGATCTCAGAAGGCCTTATGGTCAGCACAGTAAATCCAAGAGCAGCCTTTGAGACCTCTCAGATTACCTCTTTCCTATTTGATACAACCACAAAAGAAGCCAGAGAGGGTTTCTGATGTTAGAAGACTAGCTGGTAGTCTCTTAATTTCTGTTATCTTCTTCTCTGAAAAGCTGCTGCTCAGACTATCATTGATCAGATGGAAGCTAGAGCCTGGTTCTGATAACTCCAACATAAGGCCCCTCCCTGTCTCTTACTGGTGACACTAAATGGAGAAATTGAGGATTTCTTCAGAAAACAGTCCTGGAGCTTCCACTCCGTGTCTCGCTTGAAGCATTAAGAACTTACAGTTACTACAACACCTGTAATACGAGTGTTACACGTGCTCTCAAGGGAGGGACCTGAGGGAACTGATTTCCCAAAGGATGGAAATGGATGGTAATGCCCTACTTGGAATTTCAGTAAGAAAATTTGAAGTAGTATCAATTCTTGCCTGAGGATTGTCAAAATGCAGCAGTGAAGACCAGACAAAAAGGCTTACATTTGACAATCAAAAAAGTAACAGCAGCTCATCTTGTGTGAATTAAGTAGTTCACACCAGGGGAAAATCAAATGGTGTTAAAATGGCTCATTTTATATATACATGTATCAGTATCAAGTACAGTAAGAGTCTGATTGTACTTTCTACAGAAACTGAAGTAAGAAAAATACAAATTCAGATGATACTGTCTCTGCACATATGAATTATTATTGAAAGCTGTTGTGTTCTTTTCTAGCAAACTGGAAGTTATTGCAAACATCTTGGATACAACTAATATGGTCCAAGTTTTCATGAGTATTTGCATTTTCCTAGTTGGATATAAAAAACAACAAACTCAGTTACTTAGCAAAACCCATTACCTTTCTATATAAATTGGCTACAATCTATTCAAAGCTAATTTATGGTAGGAACTAAAAAGAACACGGAAGGAAAACTTAGCTTTCAAGTAAATGGGTTAATGTCATATTTACCTGAATCACTTTGCAAATTTTTTTTGCGTCTTGAATTTCTTTTATAAGATTCCACTCCAAATTCTTTGGGGAAAAAAAAAGTCATATGCAACACATAAGAAAATAAATGAATAGACAACGGCAATGACATCACATTAAGGACGAGCACAACTTTTAAATTTTCTCTCGATTATCATAAAACTATACAAAAGATGAAATTATAACTTGCTTACTCATGCACAGTAGTTAAATAAATATAGACTACAAGAAAAGGAATAAATATACCATTAACTTTTTTTTTTTTTTTTCTTTTTTTAAAGCTTAACATGAAGAAGCTGAGATGGCTCACCTAAAATGATAGAGAACATCAAATGTTGAAATTTTTAAAAATCTCAATACCTTCTGTCAACCTATGATGGGACTTTTTTCATAATTTCTAGAAAAAATCTGAACATGTTTCAACCTTTTCTTATATGAGTGTTCTACTCACATCACTTCTAGGATGACACTTAAATAACTTATTCTAGTCTGCACACTGAAAACCTCTAGTTTAATGTATGTCACATTAGCAGACCATCATAACTAAAAATATACCTGATCACAGTGTAAGCCGAATCCTAATTAGGCTTTTCTGTTTTCTTTTAAGTGAATTTAAGGACATTATTCAGGCAAAACTAGGCATAACATGGCCAACAATAAAGTAAAAAACAGACTCAATCCCTCCTATTGTTGAAATTTATTTCTTCAAGATGTTTAATTCACATCTGTATCTGCATTCTGGAAGCACAGGCCATCAGCACTTAGGGAGGTTCTTGCATGAGCAGGTCATAAGAGTCTCTCAGATGTTACATACATATGGAAATACAGAAGAAGGTGAGAAAACATATCCAATTATTCTCAAGCCCCCAATCCCAAACATTATTAGAAACTTCATGAGAAAAGGAGACAGGCAGACCAGCGTTCGTGTAGAAAGCACATTTTGAGCAAATCCTGTAATCAATGAGTAGAAGACATCATCTTTTGCCCAGAGAGGTTGTGGATGCCCCGTCCCTGGAGGTGTTCAAGACCGGGTTGGATGGGGCCCTGGGCAGCCTGGTCTGGTATTAAATGTGACGGTTGGTGGCCCTGCCCATGGAGGGGGGGTTGGAGCTTCATGATCTTGAGGTCCCTTCCAACCCGGGCTATTCTGTGATTCTGTGAGACTTCTATTTCCAGGTGAAAGTTCATACATTTCCTCCAAGGAAAACTCTGAACAAAAATCAGTGCCCATGGGCCTTCATACCCCCCCACGACATCCATAAACCTATCTGAATCTAAATCTACTGAGCCTTAGACGAACTGTACGTAGCTTCTGGACTGCTCTCCAAAATGCAACATCATTTAGAATGACTGATGATAACACCTGGTGATTGTGTGAATATATTTTTCATTCTGCTCAGTAGCCCACAGAGACAGTTTAACTGGTGGTTACAGACAGATGCTTTGTCAGACAAACCAAGGGGTAATTGCTCTAACAAAATATCAGCAGAGACCAGACAATCAACTTAAAATTGCACCATCATTTATAAGGACATATTTAAAATTCAGCACTATTCAACTATTGCTTAGACAGAGAGGTATCTTAGCTTCTTCGCATTCTGTTCTCACTGAACTAGCAACTTTTACCTTGTAATTAGCTCTTGCAACTGGCCATCTTTGTATGTGCCTTCATGTGCTTAAGCTTTGAAAATATAACCACACTACTTTAGCTATTATGGTAGCTGAAATTAACCATAGATTAATCATAATCATTAAAGCTGATAACAGAATGATAACTCTGACACTGCTGGAAATGGAGATACTTAGCAACAAGGGTACTGAATCAACTTAAGAGATGCTGGAAAGCAATCACTGGAGATGGGACACTAACAATGGCTTAATGTAGAAGTTCTGCCAAGAAAGAAACTAGAACACAAACAAAATGAAATTCTGTCTCTAACCGCAAATGCATAACCATAAATGAGATACATTTCTGACTGGCTGCATGCCCAGGATACTAACACTATCTATGACTTGACTAGGGAGATTAAGAAGCAACAAAATCCAAAAAGTAACGCTGTAGTCAAAATTCAAAAATGGATTTTTTTTATTATTAGTATATTAGAAACGTTATGAAGGATAGTTGAAAAAGTAAAATATTGCAAGCTAGACAGAGACTATTGATATATACCGTACTAGAGGCTCAAAGCACATGCAAATCAGGTTTTGATGGATGTTTTGGAAACATCAGATAGAAAAATCAACACCGCTAAACAGAAGGGAAGCTGTTAGCAGCCAGACTGTATCCTCCGACATTTGAAATGATGTCTAAAAGAAGCAAAACAGAAAAGATCCTGAACTTTGTGGATTTAAATCAAAAAGCACCATCAGGGAAGTTGAATAAGAGTTTTTAGATTAAACATGCAAGGTACATAAGAACTAGTAACAAATCCTTTTCCAAATACATCTGAATAGGATGGCTGCTAAAGACAATGTAAGACTAATAGATGACCAGAAGCACTGATTTTAACAACATCTGGATTACTTATTTACAGTACACAAAATCCAATGAAGGTAAATGTATGCTTGGACAATAGGACCAAGTATTGGTAGAAGACTAGGCTCTGAGCTTGTTAATAATAAAGCAGGAACAAGATCACAAAGATAAAACAGGCAGTTCCCTGAAACTGAATAAAAAGCTTAATTGCATTTAAATGAATAAATGTAATGTTAAGAACTATTAAGAAAGGAAAAGAGAACAAAATAGAGGTCCTCCTTATATCACAGCATAAGCCCACCGTGCGTCTAAATATTGAATATTCTCTGCAGTTCTACTCCTGCTTCCTTTTCCCCTGTAATAGTAGAAAATGGAATAGAATAACGGAAAAAGTACTGAGCAAACAGAATGATGACAGATATGGGACAGTTCTCATTCATGAAATAAGTTAATAGATCAGAAGTCTTCAGCCTGAAAAAGAACATAAAAGTTTGCAAAGTAACGTGGGACATGTAGAAAGCAAATCTGGAATCCATTCCATATTTGAAAAGAAGGAGTAGGGCATTATATGAATATAGTATATTCTAGGTAGAAATCAAACAATAGCTCTCATTCTTCACACAATACATAATGAAGTTATCACAGAATGTCATGGATGTTAAAAATTCAAAATATAACTAAAATTTTCACAGAGAAATAAACATCAATTCTAAATTACATTGGAATAATTCAGGTAAAAATATAAATTAAGCAAGTAAACAGGGACTTTTTCCTAAAACTCTTCTAAAATCCTGATTTCTTAGACTAATTTTTAGCACCCATCAAGTTTCCAGTAAAAAGCAAAAAAAGCACCATAAAAGACTTCCTGCTCATGCAGTTGAACATCCATTCATGTATACGTTTTAGCACACACCACCAAGAATGCAGAGAAAATGGTGCTTGGCAAATTTATATACAAACAAGACAGAACAAATTTAGCATTAAAACATATAGCCATAGAACAGCATAATATACCAAAAATACAATTTATAGGGCAAACCTACTTGGTGCAAATTCAGATATTGCCAGTAATATAAATTTGATGCAAGAGAAGACAACCTGGCATAATGAAAAACTCTGAAGTTCTCTAGCCCATGTTTTACAGTTTTTCCCTTTGGCTCTAAAAGCCTTTCAACTGGTTTTATTTTAAATCACATCCAACAATTCCTCTTTTCTGTTTTGCAGGCAGAGTCCAGGACTTGGATTTCCTTACTTAGGAAAAATGTGAAGTGCCTAACATTTCAATGCATACTAGTCTAGAAAATACTATGAATGTTCTTAATGTTACTGATTAAAAGTAAGAAAATCTTGAAATTGTTACAAAAAATAAAATGTTGAAGTCCCTCCTTACAGGTAATCTATACCTCATATACAGTAGAAGAACACTAATGAAAAATATACAAAACACCATTTATATCTCCCTGGTATAAAAACAGCCCTGAAAATTCCTCTTTTTATTTCCTTTACATATTTCTGAATGCATATGTACAGTGTTATTTAAGAATTATGTAATTAAGAATTATGTCAAGCAAGAAAACCACAGAAATCTTCAAACACAGTCATGGCAAGACCTATATATAAGAATGAATTTAGATTTCAATTCTAGATAACTAATTACCTTCTAATGATAATTAAATAATTACTCTAATGCAGTATCTCATGCACAATGTCTACATTTGCTATCAAATAAAAATATATTGATTGGCAAATTCTTCTAATCAGTTACATAACAATGAGGTTATTTGTTACTATTGCTGTTGAATCACCTATAAATAGCAGAATTTTAGTATGCTTTAATATTTGTAAACTTTAATTATTACCTGTGATCATTTAATAAGCAATTTATTTTCTCCCTACTGTTATTTTTCAGATTTTCAAGTGTTTTAAACTACATGGTAAAACATAGAAATCCTAGATTATTACTTGCTTATTGTTTTGTTGCTTGCCTAGTAATTCTCTGCAGCAGAAGTGTTTTATTTTTCTTCCACATTAAAATCAAATAAAAAACTACAACCTTGTTAGAGATCTTTTCTGCAGTTATTTCTTCTTGGATTTCTTCATACTTTGCTTTTTTTTCATTGTAAGATAATTCAGCTTTACAAAGCAGTTCATTTAGTCGTTTTATTTGCTCTTCAGACTCCTCTATGCTTTTGCTGAGAGTTTTGACTTCTGACTGATGTGCCTCCTTTGTTCTTGAACTGTTAAAATAAAATTATTTTATAAAGCCTGCTTACTAAAAGGAAAACTCGATATTAAATAAGTGAAGCTAAAATATTTGAAAATCAAAAGTAAAGGCAGTATTTCATCATCCATTTATCTGATGCTGAATATACCAAGCTCTTCCCTAAAACTTTAAACTTACTTCATTCATGACTGTAAGCCCTGATAGTTCCTTCATATCAAACAATTACATGCAGTTTTTTACCTATACATTCCTGTTGTTAACCTTTATCGTAGAATCAGAGCATCCCAAAACGGCTGAGGCTGGCAGGGTTCTCCCCCCTCAATCAGGGACACCAGAGCAAGGGCCCAGGCCCAAGTCCAAGCAGCTGCTGAAGGTCTCCGAAGAGCAGAGCCCACACACAGCCTCTGGGCAGCCTGTGCCAGTGCTCCATCACCTGCACAGCACAGAAGTGCTCCTGGTGCTCTGAGGAGATCTTGAACCTCCTCTGTTCAAGTTCGTGCCCACTGCCTCTTGCCCTGGCACTGGGGACCACTAAAAAGAACCTGGCTACAAGCTCTTTAAACTTCCCATCATGTATTTACAAACGTTAATATGGTCACCCCAAGACTTCTCCATGCTGAACAGCCCCAGCTCTCAACCTCTCCTCACAGGAGAGGGTCTCCAGGCCCTTTGTTATATTCATGGCCCTGTGTTGGACTCTCCCCAATACATTCACATCTCTGAGGGCCTCAGAACACATCCAGCACTCTGGATGTGGCCTTACCATGGATAAGTAGAATGCAAGGATCGCTTCTCTTGACCTACTGGTAATGCTCCTCCCAACATAGCCCAGGATGCCATTAGCCTTCCTTGTAGCTGGGACATATAGGTATTTACCTAGTCTAATGTCACTAAGATAAAAACTACTTACTTCTTTCCATTACTATACTGAGAAAATAAGGTCATGTAAGGCAAATACTTCATCCCTGCACTGCTTTCTTTTTCACGTTGAAAACAAAGATTGAACTACAAGAACAATTTCACTTCTTATTTGATAACTGCCACATAAGATAAGTGTGGAGGAGTTTAAAGAAACTGGCAGTTCACTGTGAGAAAAAAGTAATTACAGTCTGCTGTGGTGTAACCCGGCAGCAGCTCTCATTGCTCAGCAACAACCAACACATAGGTATGTGATTGGCCCTGTCTCAGCTGAAACCAGGAAACAATCATAGGCTCAGAGTATCACAGTAGTGATATGACATACCAAATATTGCCAATATAAGGCAAGAGATGAGTAGCAGATCAGAACATTTAAAAGTCTTGAGCTTTACCAAAAATCCTGCCTCTTGTGTGGCACTTAATGGCAAAACCCCCAAGAGAACAATATTTATAGTCTTCAGTTAAAACTCATCTTATTTAGCCAAGAATCCCAGTAAGATCAAAGATTTACTGTATTAGATTTCTGTATTACTCAAAAAAAATTCCATACAAAGAGCACTCTTTCTTTTTGTTGGGCTTTTTGTAAGATACCTAAAACCAACAGACACTGGTGTGTAAATGAAGAACTGAAAATCTGTTTTGTTTGCTGTTATATTGTAAATGCACTGGGAACACTATGCAAAATACACTTTAAAGTACAGCTATCTGGAATCAATAAACTGAGGATCCACAAAAAATGCCTGCATAATGTCTTACAAGAATTCAAAGAAAAACAGAGACACACAATATTCAGATTCTGCTTTGTAAATATCATAAAAAAAAATACAAATAAAATCCATAGAAGATTTATTGAAATGCCTTTGGGACTGAGGCTTATGTTAACAAAGAGAATTTCAGAAACTTCATAATTTTATTTTGTCAAACTGTGTATTCTGGTTTTGGCAGAATTTTCATTTTGCTTCTTTCAAATGAAGATCAAAAAATACCAATGATAAATTTCAGCCTAAACAATCTGATGTTATTGAAATGGTGTATTACAGAAAAAAAAATAATAAATAAAAGCAAGGTTTTGTTTTATAGGTGTACTTTCAGTGATTAAACAATACTTGCTTCCAATATTTATATTGCTAACATTACCAATTTCCAAGTTTTTGCAAAAACTCTTCACTTTCTCCTTGGAGTCCTTCATTTTCACGTTTCAAAATGTCCAGTGCTTCATTGATTTTGAGAAGCTTTTGCTTTCTACTTTGTAGATCAATTTCCCTGGTGGATTTCTAAGGATGATTAAAACATTAAGATACTTTTAGCATAAGTCAGAATAAGTCAGGTCAACACAGAAGAGGCAAGTATGCAGACATTTTACTTATATAAAATAATAAAGAACTTACAAATTCTTCCATAGCTTTAACCAAGTCAGAACAATCATCCGATATTTTTATGTTCTCATCAGCTTGTGCAGTTATTTTATTATTCAAATCTTCCACCTAAAATATATTGTAAGTAATTAAATAATACAGATATCTCCTATATTTCTTCATAAAAATTAAACAATTTATTTTAAATTATAATTAAAAGGCAGCCTATTAAACAGTAACTGCAGATATTTCATGCAATGCTATTCATACACACATTCCCATTGTTATGTATCCAAGGTGAACCCTTAGACTTCATAGTATCTGTAAGCACACTCACAGTCTGCTAATTCATACATGACATATGTTGTGTAACTGAACTGAATACTTTTAATTCTGCTCAGTTCTAAGACTTTCTTTAATATCCCGATATCTCTATCGAGCTAATACAGTGATTCATACAGAAATTGAAAAACACTTTGCTTCATTCCCCTCTCATTACCCTGAAGAGGCTGAAGCAACATAGATATCCTGGCAGAGCTTAACTATACAATCTCCTCAGAGATATGGGTTTTACTGGAATAGGATAAACTACAAGCTGGTATATAACCAACAAGGCTAAATTAAAGGTAAACAAATACAAAGTGCTATGCACTGGAGGTATATGAAACACAAATTCAAACCTGCTTAAGGAAACAACTGCTTAAGACCAGTTAAACAAGGCAGACAGTCACAATGGTTCACTGATGTTAAATAGGAAATAATTATGTAATTATCTAGTTAAAAAACATCTATTAGATAGTCCTGGACATGAGGAATGAAAGCCAAAGACGTAGCAAGGTCACAGTTGAAGTAGTGTGCCCATTTCAGGGACCCTAATTCCAGACACTCAATCTCAGGTTGGATGGGACTCTGGGAACCTGATCTAGCTGTAGGTGACCTTTAAAAATTCATTCCAACTCATAAATAAATAAATAAACAAATGAACAAAGAGTTTCACAGAGAAAGAATGGTTAGGAATTAGAAAATGTTCTGATCAGAAAGACTGAAGAGAAGCACCTTTAGTAATCTAGGAAAAGGAGACTGCACAGCAGTATTTTTTTACATGTAAAATATTCTTAAAACAAGACAGAAATATTCCAGGGCAGTATGGGAAAGACAAACTAGTTACATTTACAGGGAAAATAACCCACAAATTAACTATGAGCGAAGTGTTCAGTTTTTCAATTGATAGTACTTAAAGAGGATGATTCAGAAATGTTTTTCTCTTTTTCATATGTTTTTAGAGCAAACATTTTGACAAGAATGACTTGAAATGCTGCCACATTATGAAAAGTATTCTAGATGGTGTCCTGAAATCCCTTCTAATATAACTCTTCTGGGAATTTTAAAAACAAAGCATTTTTGTTATTCTTCTCATTTTTCTTAAAACACAACTTAGGCATCAAGAACCACACACACACACACACAAAGAAAGCTTGCAATGACCCCCATCTCCTAAATTATTCATTTTGCACGTCTGACATTTCTGTGGCTTTCAAAGAGAGATGTGAGGTATGAAGGTGTCTGTTGTCAAATTATAAATACAGATTTAGAAGACATTTACAAATTAACTTTGTGCACTTGAACATTATGAACATTGTTCAGTTGTTACTTTTTCTTTTACATCATCTATTTGTTTCTTCATTTTCTATCACTATGTATGAAACCTGTCCTCTTTTTTAAACAGCAGTACAAGACACGATTACATTTGAAAACATTCTATCAGTAGCAATTGCTGGTGCCAGTAATAGAAAAAAAAAAAACTTTAATAAACAGTTGAGTACTGCAAACAAAAGGTATAAAGTAATCCATTAGAGACTGTCCAATATGACTCTGTCTATTTTTGGACATGGATTGGCCAACCCATTACATGTTTCCCAGGACCATGTCAAACAGCTTTTGAATATCTTCATTGAGAGGGACTCCAATATTTTTTTTATTATTACTACTGATATTATATATATATGCACATATATACATGTACACATGATAAGTTCTGTTGTGGCCATCTAAGTCCTGTTTTAGGCACCTAAACAATCCTTTTGGCTTGTTTCCTCCTTTTTTTTCTTTTTTTTTTTTCCTAGTGGCTCCACATATGAAGTAGTAAATTAACTGAAAATGCCCAGTCAGACTGCATGAGGATCTCCACTTCATGCTTTAAACTGTTGTGTACAACAATGCAAGATTCCAAAAATAGTATCAGACAAATATTGGAGAAGATATGGGAATTTCAACTAAAGCAGGCTATCACTCTGCATGCTGCAGGAGAGGGCTTCATGTGTCACCTCAAGACAAAAAAAATTAATAATAATTAAAAAAAATAAAATCAAAAGGGCATTCATGTTGTACTGCTAAATATTCAATGGAGGCGACTTAGAAGGATAACCAGTATTAGGCAGATGTGCACACAACTAAAAATATGTAGATCACTCAAAGCAATGTAAGATGATTGATAACTTTAATAAATAATGATAAACATTAATAGCACAGTACAAGAATGGACAATAGAATTCTGTACAATTCTACCACTTCTTACTTTTAAATCAAATCCTGTATTTTTACTTTTACAGAGGATAATAACTCTTAAACATACAAAAATATTCAGGCATTCCTGTACTTTTCAATAAAAGATATTCATTTACTTGCTTGTTTATAAATATTCAAGACTCACTTTGCTGTTCCAACATTTTGCATCTTCCTGGATTTCTGCTTTTTGCTTCACTAACTCCTCAAGGTGTTTTTCATCCTTTATAATCTTCTCCTCTGTTTTTTTTAACTTCATACAGTATTCGGTCCAAATAAATTCAGAATGCTTTAACTCATTCCTAATAGAAATACACACGAAGTGAATCCATCTATCTGGAAATATTCCAAGGTAGTCCCTCTCCATAAAGGAAAATGTAAAGCAGATCCGAATTAGTAAAGATTTATTTTGATTCTCTACTATGTTTCTTGAGCAGGTATGCATGAGAGAATTTCAAAACACCCAACCTGGCAGGTTCATACAATTTCAGCCAGAAATCAAAACTACTCAGGCTACCCATTCACTTGTACTTACAAAGTCTGCCAACACTGCAGCTTCTAATTGGACTTCTGAACAGGCATTAGTGTAGTTGAGTAGAAGACTTTTGTTCAACACATTTATTAAAACAAGAGTCAATTTCTTTCCTCCACCAGTGGCTAAATCTAGTTCAGAGCCATCTTCATTTAATCAGTCCAGTGCAGCGTCATTTTATGGACAAATGCCATTAGTGACTTTTTTTTCTGTATCATCTTGTAACTGTTATCTTTGGTGCCATTATACAAGTAAGACACCAACTCTTTATGCAAAAATGAACTTGCAGAGAGTAGACAAGGTCAAAGAAGAAGCTTGCAGATGTATCAGCAGACACTGAATTACCAGAAGAAAAACCACCCGTAATTACAGACAGAGGTAATACAACAATAGTCAGGAAAACACTCCAACAATGAACTGTTAGGCCTCGCAATAAGCTGTGCACAGGTCTTTTGTTACAACAGTGTAAGAGAATGGTATTTTGTAAAAGGCAAAAGGAATAGAGGGATATCGGGTTAACGTTTTACAGTGACCGCTGGTGTTTGTCTATTATTTTTGTTTGATGAAGACAAAAACTTCAGTTAATAATTCAAGAGCCAAAGGTCACAGAATATATATATATCATGAGCATGAAACCTAGCACTTCAAATATCTGTACTCCCTTATGTCCTACTACTCACAGCATATCACAGAATCACAGAATGGCCAGGTTTGGAAGGGACCTCAAGGATCATGGAGCTCCAACCCCCCTAACACATGCAGGGCCACCAACCTCTTCATTTAATGCTAGACCAGGCTGCCCAGGGCCCCATCCAACCTGGCCTTAAACACCTCCAGGGACGGGGCACTCACAACCTCTCTGGGCAGCCTGTTCCAGCACCTCACCACTCTCTCTATAAAGAACTTCCCCCTGGCATCCAACCTAAATCTTCCCTCCCTCAACTTAAAATCATTTCTCCTTGTCCTGGCATATATACGACACTTGGAACTATTCTGATGACAGATATGTAACAGGCATACTGCATATCAGCTACAACTTTTCTGAGCACAACTCCTGGAAAAGAATGCTACTATCAGCCATAGTGAATATGTGCAAAAATAACAGACTGTGCTGTGGAACATACCCCTCTTCCAGTTTTCAGTCCTCTGAGTACTGATGACTCAACATATAAAAAAGTGTATCAACAGAAGTGCAGCCTTTCAAGTCTGTGTCATCACAAATCTGCCTTTCTCACACCTATAAACACCACATCATTCTGATCTTCCTCAGATGGCAAATGAAGAATCTACTTCGGCAATGTAGGTATGACTTTAGTTACAAGCTTATCAAATGGCTGGAAAAACAGACTTGACCATTGATTTCCTCACTGAGGGTAGAAAAAAGAATCTTATTTTTTTTCTTGTAAATGCTGATACTCCTTAGCATTTTTAGTTTAACTTACCATTCACACAAACAAAAATAGTTGAAAGAGTCTACATCACTGTCATGTGCTACAAATAGGAAATATCTTAACTAGGCGAAACAGAAAACTTACATGGTCCGTTTATGTCCATACAGAAAATCTAAACCCAGTTACAGCAGTTATACCCTCTTCTTTTCCCTCTGAGAGTGCGTTCCTTCACAGAGGGTTCCAAATACTTTATTCTCAAATTTTACTGCATGTCTTGCTTTATTCTAGTGTGTATCACTACAATACAAGTTTAAAAATATCTCAGTTCTTCCTAATCGGAACATCAAATGAAAAGGTCACTAGCAGTACCCGAAACTCTTACAACTGTTATTTGAGGATTTGATGTTCAGCTTCATGGTAGATAAGTCTGGTAGACAAATGGTATTTCAGTGCCAGAATACAGGAACCACAATGAACTTGTGTACAAACTATTTGTAACTGCTTATTTTTTGTCTTTTCAGAAAGTCAGATAGGCTACTGATAGCCTGTAAACATAGAAAATCACAAAGTTTGTTTTTTCTAGTAACAATCTTATATACACATGAGAAACCTCTTTAGCAGTGAGGGTGGTGAGGCACAGGAACAGGTTCCCTAGCGATGTGGTTGATGTCCCATCCCCGGGGACTTGCAAGATGAGGCTGGATCAAGCCCTGGGCAACCTGATCTAGCTGTGCAACTCCTTGTTCATTGCATGGGAAGTGAACTAGATGACCTCTAAAGGTCTGAACTCTAAGGATTCGATGAAAAACATATTTTAGGTATAACTACTTAATTTTACAAAACTGAGAATTTAAAATATTTTCTAAATGCAAATTTTCTATAATTTCATTGTCACTACTAAAAACTAACATGCGTACGACCGTTTTGAACAGCTCTTACTTGTATTCACTTAGTAGCATCTCAGCACATTTAATTTTTTCATACATAGATTTTATCTTCTTTTTAGCTTCTTCTTCAATTCTTTTCATTGTCTTTTGAATTTTCATGAGCTCAGAATGAACATCAGAATATATTCTGGATGCCTAAGCAAATAAAACAAGTTTTCTGAAAGATGTTACATAGAAATCACACACAATGTGACAAATAATAATAGCTAAATATATATATATATATATATATATAGTTTTATTTGATTCATTGTAATTTTAAAATTGAATCTTAAATTCTGCATGGTCTGCAGTAAATACCCTAGTGAAAGACAAGAAGATGTTGTAAAATTGCGTGATATTAGGAAGTATTATCAAGAGGCCATCCATTCTGTTGCAAAACATAGAAGTTATTGTGAAAAGTGGCTACTTCCATGGGAAGATAGTGACCTCTGGAGCAGAAAGAAAGAAATAAGTTGGAAGAAGTCGCAGAGGTTTCTCTCAGTAATCTGACAGAATTACTTAAACATCCGAAACACCCCAAAACATGTGTAAGCCCTGCAGTCACCTGTGTAAAACAGGGGCCTAAGACAATGCAGACAATAAATAAAATTTCACTGGTATCAATAGTATTGGGTCTACTCAGTTCCTGTCCACTTAGCAATATACACATGTTTTTTGCCTCAACTTTTGAAAATATTACATGTTAACAAAAAACGCGATACAAAATCTGTAAATACTAGTTTGCTGGATTTTAAAAACTAGAGATTCAAAATTCAGTATCTGTATCAACTGCAAAGAAAACTCAATATGAGCTGCTTTCCAAAGGCCATGAGGAAAAAAGGAAAAAAAAAACACGGGAAAAAACAAAGGAGTAATAAACAGCATGTAAATTAGAGTACAATTTGTTAATTAGAAGCTTTTCTGAAATGAAATATATAAATGAATTACAGGAACACAAAATCTGTCTTCTTAAGAAATGTGATGTCTAAAAAGAAAGGACACTGAAAAAGTATTAATTTAATATAGTCTGTATTAAACAGATACAGGAAAAAAATCTGTTTCCTGATCTGTACTTTAGAGCATCTTAATTTTTTGACTGCATACAATCTTTTCTAAGAAATTAACAAGAAAAAAAAGGATACAAAATGAAAATTGAAATAACCAAATTGATTTTTAATTAGCTGGTATCTTAAAAACATATCAATGATCAAACTACCAGCTGTTTCATAGTCAGAATCATATGCAAGTTTTGGTGTGCAGATAATTATTTCCAAAAATACAGAAGAAAAGAATTTGCAAGCTGTCATTCACACAAAGATGATTGTGTCCCATTCATATTTAACTAAGAAAGGGAAATGAATTGGAAGGACGTTACTTTATAACAATTCTCACATTATCTATGTGATGTAATGTTTAATTAGCTCTTTTTTATTTTAGAAGTACTTTGACATGACTACTGACACCCCAAAATGAAGCAAATGTTTAAATAAACTTTTATTCAGAATCACCCAGAAGTATAAGATTATTTTTAGATTGTAAACGCAGTGTCTTGAAATGGATTCATTTCTAGATTTGAGATTAAAAGTAGCTATAAAACATGCACAGAAAATAATCAGTTTTAAAATCTGAACTTGCAGATACACAGTACCCCTCCTTTTCTGATACCCATTTTAAAATATCTACAAATCTGCTGCACTTTGATTGTTCAGTCTGCAACTATCTGCATTAAAAATGCACCAACACTTGAAAATAATTCAATTTTACTTTCTTTGACAACTTCTAACATTTCCACATTATCCACATACTGGAACAAACTTTGATGTCCGTGAGAAATCTGAAAAGAATCAAGAATCTATGCAAACAGCAGATATGTGCCATCTACATTTTCTGCAAAAAAGGAAAAAAAAAAAAAAGAAGAAAAAAAAAGAAACCCAAACAGATGGAATGAGCTTACAAATTTAGAATTACATTCTACATGTGCTTATGAGACATTTATTAAAGGCCTGTAGCATTATGCTCCCTGGATTCTGCCTGTACTGAGTCACACAATTCAGTCTTTGTCTATAAAATTCAAAATAGACTGGTGATGCCAAAATAATGCTGCCTCTAAAAAGGTTTTGTTTTTTGTTTTTTTTTTTTTTTGGTATGATTTTTACTCACCTTTTCATAAGCCAGTAAAACATCCTTCACAGCTTCACCCTCCAGATTCAACTTTTCTTCCAGCAGAGGGCTGTGTTTCTTCATGAAGTCTACGTCCTCCTGAATCCTTCTGCTGACTGCTTCTATCTTAAGTATCTGGTTTTGTACCTGTCGCAGCTGACGGCTTTTGCAATCGAAATGCCATTGTAGCTCTAAGGTATCTCGAGCGCATGTTTCATATTCTGTTAAAGAGATAATTAGCATAACAAAATGTGTATTTGAGTGACACCGTGAATGCTTAGTGAGATTAGGAAATGCACAGTTACAATGCTGAGTATAAGACTTGCAAAATTTTGCTGTAAACTACTGTAAAGGCCAAAAGAGGATACTGGTTACAAAAGACATCACCAAATAGTACATTAGCAGTGGAACTTTCTGAAACTCAATAATCTAACTACATCATTCTCAGAGTAAATTCTCAGAGTGAGTGGTGGCTTTGTTTTTATGAAGGAAATTAAAACACTTAGCCTTAAGGCACATCTTGAGAGGCTGCTAACACACAAAAAAAGCTGTACTAAACTTGCCAGTCACCAGCAATGGACGGATGCGGATGCAGAGGAAGAACAAGGCAAGTATATATCCCAGATCCCCTTAAAATGACAACTGTTTTCAGTTCAGGAACACTTTCTGAACTAAATGGGGCTTCAAAAAATCTAGACTACAGATAAATATTCAAAGCCATCAAGAAGAACATATTCATGCTGCCATACAGAAATGTGTCAGTCTTAATTCACTTCATTGCATTTACTTCTCCTACACTGGTATAAATTTCCTGAGGGCCCTTACAAGAAAATATGTAACTAGATCATTGGTTGCTGAATGACAGCACATATTTCATCTTGCTCAGAAAGAAAACCTTATTACAGATCGTGTCCTAACAGTACCGCAGCAGCTGATGTTTAACAGTGAAAAAGATTATCAATTAAGAGAAAAAAAAAATCTAAACAGGAGTAAACTCTTGCTATAAATCTGAGAGAGAAGAGTACGTTTTACCAAGAAGAAAAGGCTTTCTAGTTCTGAGAAGTAGCTGTGGAATATCTGGCGCTATTCCTTAACAGTTGATACATTTTGCTGTGTTAACAAGACATAAATCACAAATTTATAAATGTATTATTTCATTGCCACTAAAAGTTGTAGAGACATTATATGAGTAAGTGGGTTTTCTATATCATACTAAGCGATGCCTAACAGTAAAAAAAAAGTGTTTTACACTGAATTTTTATTATATTTCAGAAGAGGTCAGTTCTGAAGATGGGCTGTATTCCTGCAATTACCTCAACGTCCTACAGGACGTAAAGGCAGCAAGAGTCAGCAATAATGGAAATCAAGGGAAGTCTGAAGAAATAACAGAATTCCGTGCCTACACAGAATGGGTCATGCAAACTCTTAATTAAGAATCTCCTGGGTTTGTATTATTTAGATTAGGGATAATTATAACATCCCTGGGGGTCTTTTCCCTTTATCCTCAATTCTGTTTTAGCATAATTTTTTGTTTTACAGATAATACTGTAAATTATTATAAACCTGAAAATGACAAATTTATTCCAAGGACACAACATCACACTGCCACAGCCTACTGATAAATCAAGGGAGGAGAGTTGGTTAATCTCTACAACCCAACTTCTGCTTTTTTATTGCTGTTTTTTTTTTTTTTTTTTAAATAAATATTGTATCACTGTATCACTGCATAACTAACAGCATTTAAAAATCATTATTCTACTATTCCAAACTTTTGATATTCATAGAGGATGCAAAACAGTAAAGCAAATATATTGGGTCCCCCCAAAATATTTTTATTCTTTATTTTTTGCATCTTGCATTACTGCTGTTGACTTGGAATGTAATAGCTCTGCAGCTCATATTACTGTGCTGCAGAACAAAGCCGTATTATTAACCTTCTTACAGCTTTTTTGCTTTGGAAAATTTGACCTTTCAGTTGCCAGAGGATTTTCTTCTGAAAGCAGTTTCTAACCTCCCTGTGAATTAATTTTAATTTTGATCCTTTATTCAACCTCTCCCTTTGTTTTCAGAACATTATAAACTGCCCTTCAGAGACTCCTGTTTTAAAAACAAATAAGCAAACAAACAAAAATCTGTAACAATCTCTGCAAATCAGTAACGTATTCACAGCAATTTCTTGTTTCCAATTCAAGTTAGGCATTGGCTAAGATAAAAATATAAATTAATTAGCCAATAAATATAAAATAAAAAGTTATTCTCATATATTCTCAGGAATGTGCCCATCTTCACATTTTGTCTTTCCAAGGAAAGAAAAAAAAAAGTATTTTGAACTAAAAACATATCCTACATATCCTGGAGCACGAGAAACTTGTCAAACTCTCAGGCTGATGAGCATCAAAAATATGTACCACAGTACTGACTGTGATTTCACAACCCGGAACTCACTATTACAGATTATGTCACTTCTTTTCATCTTAATGTTTGTCTCTCTTTTGGCATCCAATATAATTCTAAAAAACAGTAAAATTATAGACAAACCACTATTATGCTTTGCAAATCAGTGTCTGGGAATATTAACTGACTTCCCACCATCTCTAATTTTAGTTCAAGATCACAGTAACAAACAGATGTAATGGGATATCATGATGGTTCTGAGCCTGTATTTTTCCTCTTCTACAACATACCAAAACAAGTCTGTAAAACGTGGTCAAAAACACAACTGAGAAGATCCAACTGGTGTTCTCTGAGGCCTTTTTCTTGGAATAGCTATAAATACTGCTCTGCTGCTCTCAGTCTAAGAAAAATATTGCAGACCGCAAGGAGATGACATTCCAGGGCTGTGATGGCTACCAATTATATGAAAGCTATTTAAGTGAAGACACATTGACCACTGCATCTCTGACTTCAAGAACCTAGATTTCTTTAGAACTTAACTGTTTTCCTTATGAAAAAATGGATAATTTGCCAGCCTCCAAATCAGCACTAATACAGAAAGAGTCTTGCTTCCTGTATTTTAGGGTACTGATTATTGTTTGCTGCTGTGATATATTTTGTTAGTCATCTGGATAAAAAATAATAAACTACCCCCACAGAAGCTACTGGATATCATGGAGCACTTCTGTGAAAAGGAACTGAAGATTTATAGATGCTGACTGAGAGACTTCAGAGAGCCATGCAGTATCTTCATATAATGTGATGTGTTGCAAACGTAAAGAAACTGAGAAAAAGGCCTTATAATCAAAAACAAAGATACTTGCAAGACCAGTTTGGCAGCCACCAAGACACTCATTACTCACTGACAATAAACATGCATGGTATCTTGAAATATCATGATGCCACACTGTACAAAAAGCCTACAAGTTTGATGTTGTTCTTGCTTATTCCCTGGCTATAGAAATAAAATTCGGGGGAAAAAAAAAGTTGAAAAAATAGGTTCACTAACCATGACGACATTTATACTCTTCTCATGCAAAAGTCAAGTATTTCATGGCTATAGTACTATAACACTACTCAGGAATACTACATAGATTAAAAAAACCCATGTGTCTGTCAACGTTTGCCACTCTCTGTTGACACTGAAGAGCTTGAATCATACAAGCAAAAAAAGCATTCCCTGATTTCAAGCAGTTATTGCATCACAATTAACATATCCTCAGATTTCAGTGCAGAAAAGTGAATTCTGAAAGGAAAAGTAACTGCCACTATGGAATCTGTTCTTCGATACAGCCAGTCAGCCAGTTGTCTTTCCTTTACGTCTGCTGGCTGCTTTATTATCAGTGTATCTGTTATTAAAAGATTCTTCTAAATGAAGTAGAAAACTATTTATTCTGGATTCTGCATTAAATTAACTCTTGTCATCTTCAAAACTTCATTCTTCTCTCTTAGAAAACCCCTTCACTATTACAAAATTAAGCATGTCCTCTAGTTTTTATTTTGTTTAAATCATCAAATCACACAAACCAGAGTTTGGTGCTTGTGACCACACAGGTCTGAAGCTCTAAGTGACAGGGCAAAAGCACAGTTATTTTTCACAGAAGTTGTTCTGTGGTTTGAAAGACAATTTACTTTCTCCTGCCTGTCTATTTTGGAGTATCATTTAGTTAAGTTTCTTCCTAGTCTTTCAAAGCTCCCCTCAATAATCAGTCTCATTAGAATTCATTAAAATTCGTAATCAAGGCTCTGGTAGCCTGCACTGTTAATTATATGCTATTTGTTGTCATGTTTTGTTTCTTTAAACATCAAGATGAAAGGCATTTGTTTCTCTTAACATCTTATACGGTGACGAATATCTTGTAAGACAAAACATACAGTGAAAAAACATGCTTTGGGTGTATTTTAAGTGATTCCTAACTATGGAATAGTCCAGAAAATGCTTCTTTATTTCTAAAAGGTTTAAATTATTCAGGAACTGCAGTTCCAGTAAGGGCTTTCAAAATTATTAAAATTACTTTTATTTTTTCTACAAACCCTTATGTGATTTGATAAAAAAAAGCCCAGTAAGATTCTTAAGAATAATTTGATATGCATTCATCTCCTACACAGTAATGCTACTAAAGAAAAAAAAAAATTGTTCTATGTGATCAGGGTATGTACTTAAAATGAGTAATAAATATGACCAAAGAACAGAAGTCACAGTATGTAGAAAAAAAAAACAGAAAAGGTAGAAAGACAAGTGAATAAATTTCAAGGGCAAAGAATGGCATGGTAACCTTAAAATGAATAGATGATCCCAGCTAAAAATAGGTGATTTTAAGACTGCCGTCAGCATTTTACAGTATTAAGAATACAAACATAAAAAAGCTGTAATAGTTAAGTGAGAATTTGGCAATCCACCCTGATCTGGGGCTGTCAACGAATATGAGTGATATGTGACATACTACACGCTAACAGACAAGGCTAATACATGCATGCTTATAGTTTTCCTCTAGTTGCATGTTTTCCCACAGGCATCAGATTTTCAGTCTAGGTTCAGATGATACCTACTTCCCATTATGATCTGCAAGTCAGAAGACAAATAGCAAACAGCTGCAAAGTATATGCTTTTTTTTCTTCTTTTCTTTTTAAATTTTACTGTGTAGATGCCAGCTAATCACAGAAGGTAACACTAAATGTCCTTAGAATCTGGGATTTTGAGGAATTCTATCAATAGTTACAGCCAACAATTCATTCAAATACTTCAATCAAGTTTATCACATTTTATTTTATTAAAATTGATGGTTTATTCTACAGTTTAGCACAATTGCATGATTTTATAGTTCTGTTCAAATTTCTCATTCCCTGCCCTAACAAAAGTATCTCTCATCATCTTTAAGTGTATTGCCTACTTTTGAGCTATTTCTCAAACAATGCTAAACTATTACATAGTTTAGAACTATGTAATATAGTGTGTTCTGTGTTGGTTTTTTTTTTTTTTCCCCATGGATATATATTTAAGCATACCAAATTCAAAGGAGTAAATACTGCAGTTCTGTTACAGTAAACACAACAATCTCACAGTGTAATTATTTTCCTTGGTAATAAACCAACTGGAAATAACAAATACTCTTAGCTTCAATAGTGATACCTTTTTGCACAGCAGCAGGGAAGTGCTGAAGCCTCCAAAGTGACATACTATCTATTTCCATGCCAAGCTTTTTCCTTCGCTGTCTCTCCTGCTCCAAAGCTTTTTCCGCCTCCATACGATCGGCCTCCAATCGCTTAATTAGCTTAGTAACTTCCAGTAGCAAAGCTGCTATTTCCTGCTTCAAGGTTAATGTCTTGCTGTCTTTAAAAATACATTAAAGATTATTTTTTTATGAAAGCTTAATCATAGGCTCTTTATTCCAGCTTCATTCTGAAGACAAAGTTGTCCTGTCTGTGTGTATCACAGTAAGCACAATTAGTTACATTGCTCTTTAATAATACATTATCATTATTTCTTATGATAGTTTAAACTTACACTCTACAGTCATCCTCAATATAAAGACAGCCTACTCACATGTATCAAGGCAAGCAAAAATTGGCTGCAAACAAAACCTGCACGTTTCCTCCAGTTTATTTCCAAAAACATACTAATAGAGATGGTACACAATTTTCATTTTTGTCTTCTTGCTTGTATAAGTAGTTACCCCAAGTTCTTCATTATATCTTTTTTTGGTGTTGTTAAGAATACTTATTTCATGTTCCCCAGGAAATATCAATGATTTCATTGAAGTCTTCAGAATTCTAAGAATATTCAGTGAAGTATCTCAACAGTAAATAACACTGGTTTTTATCAAGATACAAATAGGTTATCAACATTTTATTCTGCAAAATCTGGCAATCAAAAATACCCTAGCTTACTGTTTTTGGTAAAATATTTTTTGAGGTCATCATCCTTAACCTGATCTAAAAAAAAAAAAAAAAAAAAAAAGATTTGCATAACCTACTGAATTCAAGGCATTTCCAATTAAATTCTACAGTCAATGATCAGTAACTCCCCAAATTATTTTGATTAAAAGCTGTAAGCATTGAAAATAAGGATAGCTACTTAAAATCTGGATTTTAGCTTTGCTGCCATCAACAAAAACTGTATTATACAATTCACTGTAGACAGGATCAACTCGAGTTAGCAGTACTGAAAAGACTGCACCGTGAATTGCACACAGACTCCTGAATACCGAAAACCATTCAAAAACATTTAATTCGAACAAAGATGCCAACTGTAAGAAACATAACTTTGTGTCAGGAGTGTATTTGTGAAAACCCTGCAACAGTGATGCAGCTACATGTGTTACTGAAATTAAATGAAAAAACAAAATAATTTGTTCTGCTGGCTTAAAATACAGTATAAATCTACATAGAAAAATGTAAATTACCATCTTGCAAATAGGATGATTTCATGGTACTTAATATAACATTTAAAATCCATGTGTCTTTCAGCTTGACAAATGATATACCGATAGATTTCAAAGGATGCACACATCATTTACATAAGATCTATCAAGCAGCCAGCAAACATTATTAAATGCAAAGCATATTTTAAATGAGGGCAAGTAACTATTTCCACTCAGACTGAATACTATATTGAGTACTATAAAGCATTTTACCTTCATGAGATACATTAGCATCTTGAAAATCCAAACTAGTTGATAATGATAACCAGGTATCTTCATTAGATTCAGCACTGACCTGTTCTGTTATCCTGTGGATAAAACCCACTGTCACTAAAAAATTTTTAGACTGAATTTAAAGTGGCACTGTTACATAAATATTACTTTCATTAAGTCAGAAGTGCCTTTCTTCAGTCTTGTATCTTAAATGCTGGGTTATATAGAATTACTGTTAAAAAAAAGAATGCAAGTCATTCAAAAGAATTTTTAATTGTGTAACTCCCATATAAATGATTTTCCTCATATTTATTTACAGAAATACAAAAAATAGACTCTTTAGCATCTTGTACCTACACAAACTAACTCTGTTCTTACACCCAAGGATTTGCCAAAGAAACCATTGAGGATAAGTTGTTATTCTGCCCAAGTTCTGAACTGAAAAAATCTATATACTCTATACTTTGCAGATTCTTCTCAGCAGCAGAAGCATTAAATGTCACCCTCAGATACAGATACATTGCCACTGCAGGTTAGAAGTAGTTTCAGTTTTATCAGCTTAAGGGATATAATCATTTCATGGTCAACAATGAAGAAAAACAATTGAAAATTTTTTAGAAACACAATAGCTTCATCAGTTTCCAGCAGAGAAGCTTTTGAAATCTTGGGAGATTCAAAAGCAGAAAAAAAGGAGGTTTTTGTTAAAATATGATCAGGATAAATCTAACCTGTAAGTGAGAGAGGGGAATAATTAATTCAAATAATTAAAGAAGAACAGAAACAAACCAGAAGTCTCAGATGACCTCAAAGAGGCTCATTAGCCTACTGGAGTTGAGAACGAGGTGATGAAGGATAACCACTCCCCATATATGCCCACGTGTGCAGGTTAAAGAGTATATATAGGCCTGTCACATGCAGCTAAGACAAAATCTATAATCAAACTGGTACAGCACACATAGATGCATAACATGAAAGTACAGAGTTGAAAGCAATCCACAGAAATGTACTGATTCTGTAAACCAAAAAAAAAAAAAAAAGAAAAGAAAAGGAAAAAAAAAAAGAATTGATGCCTCTGATTGTTACATCTAAGATACTGGGAAGATTCCAGTAATGAAAAATAATAAGACATTTGATAAGAAAAATGGGACTTGGTAGTGGAAGAGATTTCAAATTAGATATAGAAGCAGAAGTTCAGTGAAGAGGAGTTGGATAAATAAGCAAACACAAAACGACTCAATAGGCATATCTGACACAAAAATACACAGAGAAATAAATGCTTTGTTGAGCAAAACAGCCAGGACAAGCTGAATGCATGAGATACATTCTCCTCTTCAAACTCTTCTTTTTAATCATTGTAATGAGAACTACATCATAAAGTGGTCCACATCACAAATAATTCAATTTAAAATTACACAGTCAGCTTTGTTTTGGGTATCTTATAACTCAAAGCAATGAGAACTAGAACTTAAAATGAGAATACTAAGCCATATTTAAAGTATCTCAGATGAGGCACAATTTCAGAAGTATCAATAACTGAACTACACTTCACAGCAAAAGTTATCATTTAGGTGGATCCTAAGATCCCCTTGAATCTTTGAATATTAAACACAGAATAGGGAAGATATAGTACTGCATGAACACTTTTGGTCTCCTGACATAAATAGTTCCTGCAGACATTGTGAATGCTTATTTTAGCTGTGTTCTGCACAATAGTAGAACTTGGTAAACAGTAAGTTCACAGAGAAGGCATTACAGTCACATTCATTTTTCATCAAAAGTTTACTTGACATTAAAACAAATACAACAGTTTGTATGATTTTGTATGCATAATTCTTACCATGGCTTTTTCTCCTCCTTAAACACATGGTCATACTGCAAAATAAAAGACAAATTTCATTACACATCTCAGATGATACATAATTTTCTGTTACCTACTAAAAAGGCTACTGAACTTTGTATTGTAAAAGGATCTAATCAGAGTGCATACAGATCTATGGTTCTTAATATTTTAAAATAATTACGAAGCTTTTGAATTCTGAAAACCTGTGTAAGGATCTCCAAAAGGTTGGTAATGAAACCCATTCTTTGTACATACATGCTAAATATTAATCAGTTTTGTAATGCTTTTTAAAATCTTTTTAGATTGTTAATTATATTGCCACACTTAATCTCTATAATTAAATCTCAAAACTACTGGACAGTTTCTGCCTGAACTTTCTATGCTTTTCCTTCATTAGTCTTCTGTCCAGAACAGTAAATTAAAAGCTGCCAGGCAAATTTTTTGGACCCAGAAACTTTATCAACTGCATCATAAGATTGTAACAAAAACTCATTGCACATACCCAAATCATGCCCAGTTTTCAAACAGTTCAGGAATTGGAATGAATGATAAAGCAGCCTCCGAAGCCCTGCATGTACTCTATCTTGTATTTGTAGGAGTATATCCATTTCAGTATATAAGCCTAATTTTGATTTTTAAAAGTATTTATGGACTATACACACTACATAAACCCTTTGTCTGTTCTCATCTTAAATCACAGTTATAACAACATCACTGCCTAGAGGCTGCAAATTATTTTTGATCTCTGCATGTTACACTGTCATGGTTTTATGATTTTTGGTTTTTGGTATTCCACATCATAACATCATGTAGTGCACTGGGAGTTAAGGTGTTAATGCTCCAGTTCTGGATTCCTGTCTGGAAGAGAAAAAGAACTACACACCCCAAGGGGCTTTGCGGCCAGAGCGGAGATATAACCCTGGCAAGGTCATCTGACCTCCCCTTCTTCATCAGGCTCTCCTCCCTGCTGCTCAACCAGACTGTGCATCTCATCTCATCTCAGTGTTATGATGAGGCCTATCCACTTTTCGGACACTCTCTCGTATTATATTTGATTTATAAGCTTCAATTCTAATTATATTGTGTGTTATCATGCATTCTGATACTATACTTAGTAAATTAGTTTGTTTCTCCTCAGATTGTTGCTGCTGTTTTTAATTATTTTGGGGTCCCCTGTTTCCCTTTTCCAGAGGCGTGGATTTTGTGAAATCCCTCTGCCCTGCTAGCCACAGAACTGGGCAAAACCAGCCCATAAACCGTTGACATGCACAAAATTAGAACTGGAAAATACACAAGCGACTGCATATACATTAAAATGAATGAATATCTGGACAGATCAGTGTTTCTTCATTTAATTCATGTATATTAATAACAACATTACCACACAAATAATTTCACTATTCTCACACTATTGTAACTAAAAGTGAATGAGGCAATACAAATTTCCTATCTGTGTCTATATTGTATATCAAGATATTCTTATAGCTTATCCAATTTGGATTCCTCCAGTACCTATTCTGTAGTTGCAGAAATCTCACTGCAAAACATTATTAATAAAGTAGAAGACTAAAGTGTGATAGTCCTTTTGATGTACCTCAGTGATTACAACACAGTCAATACTGGAGCTAAATTATTTAAATATAGCTTGTCTGCAATGGTAGCAATCAGATCTTACTGCAGTGTAGACATACACAAAACTTATTAAAAATTTGGAAAACACTCCAATGTGAATTATTTAAATAAAACTAACCATATTCTCAAGGAAGTTAATAAGAAGATTTTACTGTACTTTAAAAGAGAATGTATTGCACTCTTTCTTCATCTACCTACCCATTTTCAGCTTCCCTTTATTCTTGTTTCTATTCACAAAATCTATGTAAGCTATGAAAACATCATATATTGCTAGAAAAAGAACCATTACATTTTCAAATTCATGGCTCTCAATAAGAGAGAAGATTTAATCAAGGAATTGTTAAGTACTCTCTAGGAAAAAACAGTGCTTACTATAAAGGAGAGAAAATCACCATAGTAATCTTATTTTAAAATACACTTGATATAAAAAGTGCTCGGCCATTTTCAGCCATAAACGTACCTGTTGAAAATATTTTCCCATCTTTACTTCCAACTCTTGAATGTGATGAATGGCTTTATTAACACATGGTAATGGAGTATTTACAAAAGCACAGCTCCGTTGCCTTGGGGTGGTCCAGTCATCTACAGATACAATGAGAATACAGAATGTTGCCAAGCTTTACCTGTAGACTGATACCAGAGAGTTTCATACTTGAATTTGTCCCTTAATTTGAAACCTGATAAACCTTAGTCTTGACCACTGGTTAAGGGAATGCAACAGCTATTGCTATGCACACTTTATGAAGTAAAGGTTATTCCTTTTCAATATGAGAGGGATTAATGAATGCATGAAAAAATATGATGGAATAACATCAGAGAGATGAAATGTGATAAAAGGAGGTAGGTCAGAATTTCAGTTTTCTATAATTAATTTTATATAATTAATCCCAAATGAATTGAGTTTGATGACTTTAGGTTAATCCTCAGTGAAGATTTTGTCCAAAGAGAAAAAATAATATCAAAACCCCAAAAAGCAAGGCTGGCAGCTACTGAAGAAAAGCCTAAAGACAAACAGAAGAGGTCTTACAGCCCAAAGAGGCAAGCTTAGCAAACTCCTGTGCATATGATACTTAATGCCAATCAGCATTGGCTTCAATTATATGAAGGGATGAAGTTCCAGAAGGCTAGTTCTGGAGTTGGGAAATTCAAGCTATATGGCACATATGAACTGTTTCATAAGAACATACAGACTTCACAGCTACATGTTCTTTCAAGTGTGCTTGCCTTATAATGAGATAAATAAATTACACTCTGTCACACTACTGAATGTTATCTATTTAACTGATAAATAGAAGGGGAATCTGTCTGCAGGGATCACTAATGAAAGTCGTCACGAATCACCACAAGACAATGAAACCTAGTAGCAGAGCAACTAGAAAGTGTGACCAGTTGTCCTACAAACATGGAACATTAACCTAATTATGTTCAGGACAACACAGTGCTTTAATGTGTGTTGGATTGGAGATTTACCAAAAATAACATTTATAGAAATTACTCAGTAAAATAGATATATTAGCAGACAACCTTCATACAGTTTGTAGGTGGCTGTTTTGTGTTGTTTATTTTATTTTATTTTTTTAAGAATAATCTCTCAGTGTCTTAATTAAAATAGTCAGACTAGAAGATCAGAAGGCTGTGGGTTACATAAGTTACTTCTGACCTTACTTTATGGTAAACAGCTTTATTGGAATGGAAAAGACTGTTTGCAAAATTTTGCTGGAAAAACAGAGCCCACTAAAATGGGTATCAAAAACAGGATCTGTCAGGGGGAAGTTCTTTACAGAGAGAGTGGTGAGGTGCTGGAACAGGCTGCCCAGAGAGGCTGTAGATGCCCCGTCCCTGGAGGTGTTCAGGACAGACTGAATGGGGTCCTGGGCAGCCTGGTCTAGTATTAAATGGGGAGGTTGGTGGCCTTGCATGTGGCAGAGGGGTTGGAGATTCATGATCCTTGAGGTCTCTTCCAACCCTGGCCATTCTGTGATTATGTGATCTTCCTCAGCCTGTTTCCAGAGCAACCTTCTCAGGATGCCTACACTGCACCGTCTGAACTAAATGTATATACACTTTGGATCTTTCTGTGCTCACAGAAGTTCACACTTCCAGACTAATATTACTTCAATTTCACTTAGTTGCTTCTGCTGCTACTTTTTTTAACAGTTTACCAAATGAATATTAATTTTGTTGTAAAAATTATTTAATGTCCTTGCCTCAATATGGCTAAGAATACCTCAATTAAAAAAAAAAATAAAATCAGAAACATCTGAACAGCATTAATAAAATAAGATTAATCTCTTACTTCCTTGATTTCATTGGCAAAAGCAAACAATGTCATAAATCTTCTGAGACATTTGTAAAAGCAAGTAATATATAGAACTCAGTGAGAAAATGGAATCGTTCACTAGATTTTCTTAAAATCTAAAAAAAAGTGTAAATGTCATGTGAAATACAGCTAATTTTGTTTTCTCTAGATAGAAAAACTGAACTGTGATTAGATGATTGAGTGACACCACTAAGTAAATGACTGACATTCAAAGTACACAAATGCATAATTGCTATGAAGAATTTTGAGTAGCGTAACAGATAAAAACCACAAAAGAGAACTAGCACTGCACACCATTAAAATAAAAATTGAAAATAATAATGTATATTTTAAATGTAAGCCTTTTATTCAGCTATTTGAAAACCATATAGTAGAAGATATATTGACATACCTTGGGGTGGCTCATCAGTGTCCTTAGGAGAATAGGAAAACAACTGTGTTTCAAGCATTATTGTGCAGTATTTTGCAGCCTAATGATTAGAAAAAACATTATATGTAGGTCACTCTGAAAATAATTCCTTCTATTTATTTCCTACAGATATAAAGAGCACAATAACACTATTTGACAGAGCAAAATCTCAACTAGAAAACACTGTTTTTCAACATAGTCATCATCACTAGCTCTGCATTTTTACCAGAGGTGAACAAGAGCCTGAATGCCACGCTCATAAACATCTACACAAGCGGTGATGACCCACTATCAATGTCACCGCTGCTGAAAGACACCACCCACTGCCTCACTGTGCTCAGATCCACTGGTTGGTCTCCATAAACGTTCAGCAAGCATTGATGAATGGCTGCCATTTTTTCTGCATGGAGAAATTTAATGGCACACCTTTGCTTCCCACACACTTCCAGGTCGGCTGCCATTTTGTCAGATTGTTCGTCTGTTGCCATATGTCATACAGTGACAAAACACAATGGAGAACTGGTGGGAAGGTTCAACCACTACTGCCATACCTTCAACATCCACCTCTGACATTGTGTGCCAACGTCATAAAATAGAAGGCATTACTTTTGGAGCACGCCTCGTATTAATCTCTTTCTTATTCTTGTGAGGTCAAAGAGATCTGACAGTGGTAGGAACAATCTCTCTGCTCAAGCAAAAAACTAATTCAATTCAATTATTAGAAATAAGCATCTGAAATTCCATTACCAGAAGAATCATTCAAATATGTTTTAAAGATGATTACTACCAAAGCTCATGCTACTAAACATGTTAGTTATTTGATCCATCCCTTTACCCATAATTAAAATATCATGTACAATAGCACAATATTTTTTTGCAAAGATTACCAAAGCTTAAACCTAGCATTTTCCATTCTGTTGTATATGTCTAAATGAAATACAGTAAATATTGGTTACCATAGTAACCACAGAAGGGAAGAAATTTAGTTTTGGCATAATTGCTGCATATGTTCATACAAATCACATCTCCTATTCTGAGCATTAGAAATGTTGACACTTTTGAACTCCATTTTTAAAAAATAGGGTAATGAAGAAACAAAAAATGAGATCAAGTATTAACAGATATAATGCAAAATATTCTTGTTTAATTCATTCTCTTCTCTTTTACACTTAGAATATATTATTTTGCATTCTATTAAACCATGCAGTTAATTACTGCTTATCTTTTACTTAGTGATAATCATTTCTATTAACATTAAAATCAAAATACTATTTTATAATAAAAAATACATTAATGATCAAACATTCAGAAATTACTAAAGAAATTTCAGAAAAAAAACCAACAGCCTGTGACAAACTTATTTCCTTTCCAATTGCAATGAGGTTCACATTGAACAAGAATAAATTTTCCTGTATCTTTACTTTCAAGAAATAGTAGCAAAGGAAGGACTATTCTAGGCATGCTGGCACTCAGTCTTAACAACAGCAACATTTTCTCAACAGCATTAAAGTATACATCCAGCAGGAACAAATTAAGTCAATTCAACCAGTGTGTGATTTAGCTACAAACTCCTCTATGCTTCCTTATCAGCTGTCAGAATGAATCAGAAGCATCTTAAAAGAAAAAAAAAAAATACATAAGGAAACCAACAAACAAATAAACAAAACCAAACAACACAAAAATACCAACAACCCTGTGGTTGCATGAAAGGTAGGACCATTGGACTTGCATGCTTTTAGTTCAACACTAGACTTATTCCATTATTTTCCTTTTCAAGCTTTGTCTGCTCAGTATCTTAGCTCTGAGTTAGCTGTTTCAGAATCACCTTACATTGTTCAAGTTCATTACCACTGATACCTTTTGTTTCAGTATTCAGAAATACAAACATCAGAATTTCAGAAAGAGTTTGGTAATGCAAAACAGAAAAATAAATAAGTCCTAAGTAAAAAAAAATATATATATAGACTTCATCTCAACTTCAATTCTTGGAAAGCTAAAGCATTTTCTTAAGGTGTTGAGCATTGCACAAGAATCCATCACTGTCAGCACTGCAAAAAAAAAAGACGCAAAGTCCAAAACTTTCTTTAGCACACGGTATTCTAACTTCAAGTATCAACATGTCACTGTTGGCTTACCTGGCTTCCCCAGACCTTCTGCTATCTACTGTGCACATGTACTAAGGTTAATGGGTCAAATCCTTAATGAATTTGTGGAAGTGATCCAGCCAAATTTTGAAGGATAACAGGCTTTCATAAAAAAGAGAAGATAAAAGAGGATTAGCCTGGAATAACATATGAATGAAAGACCATTTAACTATTTAGAAATGCTTGGTTTTTTAACACTTGATGAGCTCTCTGTTACTGCAAAGAGCAGAGAAAAGCTGCTGAAAACATTTTACAGCCCAAAAAAGGCAGCAGTTCCCATAACCATTAGAATCAATAAAGTCTGATTTTACACACATCCCCAAAGAAACCCAGTTCTTCCTGGTTCCTCCAAAGAATCTGACCAACACAGGTTCCTTAGCTATTCCCTCTGTTCATGTGCATGTGGTACAACAATTATATGTGGTACCAATTCTGTGATTCTGTGAACTGGTTTGGAGCTTTACAAATGTTGATTGGCTAACCAGAAAGACAGCAGATTAGCCAGCTGACTGCTACACTGCAGAATATGTAAAGAATTAATTTATAGCTTCTTTCTTATAGGGGAGGAAATAATTTGAGTCTTTCCTCCCCCTCTTTAGTTGCCAGTTTTCATGAAACTTGGAGGAACTCAACATCTCTGAGACTTTAGCCTATCAAATCTGGTTGAAATTTCATAGAATCGCAGAATCATTAAAGTTGAAAAAGACCTCTAAGATCTCCTAGTCCAACCATCAGCCCATCCCCACCATGCCCTCAGTGCCACATCCACATATTTTTAAACACCTCCAGGGGCAGTGAGTTCACCACTCCCTGGGCAGCCTGTTCCAATTCCTCACTGCTCTTTCTGAGAATTCTTCCCAATATCCAACCTGAATCTCATCAGCGCAATTTGAGGCCATTTCTTCTCATTCTATCTAGTTATGTAGGAAGAAAAGGCCAATCTCCTCTCTACAATCTCCTTTCAGGTATTTGTAATAATCTGACATTATGTTTGAAAAGCTTCTGGAGGACAAGCACTGACAGACAGCGTACAGCGATGGCAAACTTGTTTCCTTAGATAAACCAAAAACAGCTCCTTAAGTGGAGGCTACCTAAAGTGACTGTAGTCATTTATTTTATAATCTTTCCATCAAAGATGGAAAATCCTTTTGTTTTAGAAAGATCTTAAACTTCACAATTTTAGGTAGAGGACAAAGAGAAAGAGACAACATTCTTCAGATGCCAAGATAAAAAAGACAAAAAAAAAAAAAAAAAAAAAAGACAAAAAAAAAGAAAGACAAAAAGAGACGAAAAAGAGACAAGCATGAGAATGCTGGCAATGCTGAAGTATAGTGGGTGAGAGGGAATTCACAGGAATGAAGGGCCTTTGCAAGGCAAAGCTGAAAAACTTATTATGAAGTATGGAAAGGTAATTATTGAAAAGTTCAGAACATAATGCAGAATAAATGACAAATCTAAAGGGAAAAGAAAAAGAGGATAGATGAGACACAGAACTAAAACTGGAATGGGACAACATAAGGACAAAATGACAGAGGATCTGTAAAGCGAAAAAAAGAAATTGTGTATTTAATTAAGCACTTACAAAATTCCACAACAGAACAGAAGGGGGTAAAACTAAGAAGAAACTTTATTTCTTTTTTGGAGCATAGTAGAATGTGAAGACAGATTTCATTTGCAAAATAATGCCTCAATTAACTGAAAGATCCAAGGCAGTTTCAACTAAATCCAAACCATTTCTAACAAATGTTGTTGAACCTGCTTTAAAATCTCTTAGTGACAGTTTTTATAAAGAATCTTTGCAAAGTTAAACCAAACTCAAACATCTTCACCATTAGTCAGCTTTCCTGAAGTATAATGTAATCTTGTCGTATCTTTATGGACACAGAAAATGATTCCTTTCATCTTGTAAAAAAATTTTTTAACATTTGAGAAACTTTCTCTTCCCTGTTATATGCTAAATAGATAAAATTATTCTAACTCCTCTACCTTTATATTTTTATTATTTTTCCGCTGCTTTCCTCCACATTTTTTCAGGTCCTTCCAGATGTGTCCTGAAGAGGATGTGGCTTTCCAGCTGATGCCTCAATGCTAAGAAGAATAGAAGTATTACACAATGCTTTTGGTTTCATATCCTGGCGTAACCCTTGGTTCTGTTACAACAATAGGATACTGGTTTTTGTGTTTCACACTATAAGCTATGGATTTTCTACTACCTTACCTAGCACTTTCTTCTCCTAAATATAAATAATGTGCACAGAACATAGTACTTCATACTTGTTTTTACTTATTTACACCCTATTCTCTGACTTCTCCAGACCATCTCAAATTGCAAATGATTCTGAACACTGAACAGTACTTGCACCTCTTCCCAGCAAGGCACTGTGTCCCAGTGGAGGCATGTGGCAAGCCCCTGCAGCTGCTCAGGTCACCTCCACTGTTCCTCAGTGCCATCAGTAAGATACGGTGTGCTCCTAGCCGGACAGTGCCATGCTGTTTTAAAAAATAAATCTTTAAAATTAAAAAAAAAAGAAGAAGAAGAAGAAATAAGCATTTAAAATGAGGCATCCATCTCGATTTGATTTTCCATCAAGTTGTATGTACTTTATTCTTTTATGTATAGGAGGAACTTGCAGCTAAGTGGTAATTTTACCTGCTATGTATATTAAATAAGTAGTTTAGTCGGAAAGATTAGGAAAAAAATGGGTTGAAAATTTGGCAGTCTCATGCAGTCTATTTAAAATTTAAGAAAAAGGAACATAACACACTGCTAAATGACATGAAATTGCATCTGTGCATTTTCTAGCGTAAGGAGATCTTGCCAAGCTCCAAACCAAGTGCTGAGTAACCATAAAAACATTCCTTTGTTCAGCTGGAGCAAGATGTGTTTCCTGGCACTGCTCAGATCTGAGCAGCTAATTAATTCTTGATGCTGCCTTATTTAAAAAATAAATTAATAGAAAATCTTGTTAAAAATAAAATAGAACATTATTTTTAATTATACATTTTCAGGTGGCTTTTTTATAAACATTCAAAAGGAAAGGCTAACATATACATTTCAGTATAGCTACATTAAGAGAACACTTCTGTTCCTGTTCTGCAAGACACCCTTAGAAGATGACAGCTCCAAGTCAAAGTTTTACATGACAAAAAAAAAAAACAGAAGACTGATAACTAAGGAATCAATAATACCCCCAAGCTGAGTGGAACTGCTGTTTTCTCAAGCTCATGCTTCCTTATTATCTACCTTCCAGAGTGACACATGCTGAATCATAAATCTTTTTACCCATGAAATGTGACCGTTAACTTTACTCATTGCTTGTGCTCTATGATTCAGTAATTAAACTTAAATTTTCAGACAAAGCTAAAAATACAGAGTAAAATGAATTAAATATTAAAAAAAAACACCTTAATGAGATTTTATTACATATTTGAACAAAAAGAATGTGAAAGAGGCTTTTTGGTTTTTTTTGCTAGAGTTATTCATTCTGTCTTTAAATTCCTTCTCTACCGTTATGTTCTCAAATACATAACAGTTCACAGAGTGTGCACGTATCAAAGTTCATGTAAATAACCTTTTTTTTTTTTTTTTGCTAGACAGAGCATTTAATTTCCTATCCACATGCACAGACTGGCATAATGCTTGTTGCCTTTCCTTAATGTGAGTGATGAACTATGCCAATAGAAAGTCCTTCCTTCTACGTGGGTGAAGCTAGCCCAGGACTAGGAGATTTACTGTAATGCACTATCTATCTTACCACAGTAAGTGGCACAAATGTTGTGTATCAAGTCCCTTGAGCTCAAACAGGAAGGTCTCAGCGATTCCACTTTTCTTAGGTTCTCATTGTTTCTTCCTTATGCTGTGAAGGTGAAAGATACAGGAAACCAGACTTTGCAATGCCAAATCAGAAAGCTGGAACAGATAACCAGACTTCTTTGTCTTATGAAATTTTTATCACTTTACAAACAATGATCATTCTTAATCATTTAATATCTATTTCTACTCCAAACTCTCTTAACATTAAGCATAATCGTTCAGTATGCATCTTGAAAATATCAGGAAAAATAATTTCATTGTCATTTAAATCAATTTCACTAAAACTTGTACGGATTTTAATAGATGATATTTGGGGCCAAATACTGCAGTATTAACTTTTGCGTGGATCACAATCTTCCAAATGAAAATTTCATCCAAAACTGTGGCAAGTACTAAAAGAGGAATAAGAAAGTTCTCTGTTTTATGTCCAATCCGAAATTGATTTCTGTATTTAACACTGGCACTGTCTCACTAAAGAAAGAGGCTGCAATTCCATGAGAAGCAACCTTAAAAGGCTGCAGACCAAACACCTCCACAACCTCAGCAGATCCCTAAGTTCCCAAAAGCATATTCAAAAAGTATTTCCTTGTGTTAGCAAGCATAGCACATTTCACAAGCAGGGCAATTTGAAAGAATAGCCTAACCAACATGATCACAGACTGGATTTTCAGTTGGGATCATGATCAACCTTTCAACTTCCAAACAACATCTCAGTATGACCAATGGGGAAGAACTTGCAAGAAAGGACTGTTGATGGGGAAATATCTGGTGAAATGTGACACTGACAGGATGAGTAGAAATGGCCTTAAGTTGCGCCAGGGTAAGTTTGGGTTGGATATCAGGAAAAACTTCTTTACAGAAAGGGTTGTGAAGCACTGGAATAGGCTCCCCAGGGAGGTGGTTGAGTCACCATCCATGGATGTGTTTAAAAACCGTTTGGATGTGGTGCTCAGGGACACGATTTAGCAGAGGGTTGTTAGGGTTAGGGTAGTATGGTTAGGTTGTGGTTGGACTCGATGATCTTTAAGGTCTATTTCCAACCTGATTCTATGACAGCTGACGCTTTAAGATGTTTGGTACATATTTCCTCAGTATTCACCCAGGTTCCCACAACTGGAATGTGACTAGAACTTCACAACACTATGAGCTAAGGCATGTTCACTAAACCTGCCACAAATTCCCCTATTCCTCGTTAATTATTTTCCCAAAGAAATAACAAGACAGATGGGAATCAGAGACCAGTTAGCATCACTGCAATAATGGCTGCTCCTCCTTTCCATACTGTTTTCAAACTATCTTCAAAGTAGCTCCTGAGCTTTCAGAAAGTAACTGAACACTGGTACAACTTTCACATCAACTCCTTCCATGTTTTCCACCCTTACACGTGCTGTTTTCTAAAAAGAGAGGACAAAACTACCAGAGAATAATTGCTATAAACTCCAAAGTGCAAAAACCCTGAACTTTAATCTCTGACTCCTCTTCAGAAATGACTCATGTAACAACAGTCTTTGAAACAGAAGGCTGAGAACCCTGTTTAAGTCGCACATCAGAAAGCACAGTGTATTCGTCTTAGCCACAAACAGCACTCCCCCCGAGGCAGACAAGCAGGCAGGGCCCCACACGTCCCCCCGCCTCTCCCCCACAGCCGGGGCTGCGCAGCCCTCCCCACTGCCGCCGGCGGCAGCGCCGCCTCCCGCTACTCACGGCTCCGCCGGGCAGTGGGTGGTGAGGGGCTGCCGGCGGCCGTTTGGCCGTTCCCCTGGCAGCGGGAGCCGGCCTAGACCTCCGTTCTGAGCGGATTGGGTCTCCCCTGAGCCTCCTCCAGGCTGAACGATCCCAGTTCCCTCAGCCACCCCCAGTAACGCTTGTGCTCCAGACCCTTCAGCAGTCCTGATCATTAACACTGCTTGTGTAACAGTAATAGGTAAAGGCTCGGCTTTCTGCACTTCTCCCCTATTTTAAAGTTGGAGCATAAAATTAAGCTGGGGAAATAAGGAGTGCTGTCAGCAAATTGAGAGCAGTGATCCTTCCCATCTACTCTGCACTGGTGAACACTTTGTCCAGTTGCACCTCCTTCCACCAGCACGAGGGAGACCCTGACATAGTGGGGAAAGTCCAACACAGGGCAACAAATATGACAGGGCTGGAGCCCCTCTCCTGTGAGGAGAGGCTGAGAGGTGGGGCTGTTCAGCCTACAGAAGAAAAGGCTTAGGGAAGATCTCAGCAATATGGATCAGTATCTGAAGGGAGGGTGCAGAGAGGACAGAGCCAGGTTCTTTTCTGGGGTGCCCAGTGCCAGGATAAGAGGCAGTGGGCGCAAACTGGAACACAGGATGTTCCCTCAAAGCACCAGGAGCACTTCTGTGCTGTGCAGGTGATGGAGCACTGGCACAGGCTGCCCAGAGGCTGTGTGGGCTCTGCTCCTCAGAGACCTTCAGCAGCTGCCTGGACCGGGGCCTGGGCCCTTGCTCTGGTGTCCCTGATGGAGTTTGGGGTTGGGCCTGATGGACCCAGAGGGCTCTGCCAGCCTCAGCCATTCTGTGGGTGCTGTGATTCAGCTAATGAGAGGGATTAAGAGCATTGTTGCATAGGGGACTTCAAAACCATCCTTAGCTCTCTGCTGATACTGTATTTAAATAGATATCTCAAAATAGATACCTTTGATAGAGAACAATAACAAAATGAAAATTTTCAGTACTCTAGGAAGCCATGAAGCAAGAGAAGAAATATCACGTTCCTAGATATTAATAGGCTTTGAAATCACAATTTTAACCTTGTGATAATTATCTGAAGAGAAGAGGGAGAAAGTGTAAATTTTTTGCTTTTCAGGCTAAATCCAAGGTCCCGACCACCATGGTTATTGCACACATTTCTCATATTGAGATTTATCATTACTTATTTGACAATACACAATTTCTGCCATCTTCTAGGCTTTTCCAAGGAAAGGGAAAACCACTTTTGAAGTGGTGAAGGGAGCTCTTTCAAATCACAGATTTATGACAAGTTTCAATGTTAATGCGTTTGATCTTATGGAGTAGTTATCGATCTTGGTAGCTATTGTGAGACAAAGAACATGTCTTATCTTTTGACTGTTACCATAAGGCTGCTGTGGTCATCCTTAGTTGCAGACTTTTCTGAACAAATATAGAAAAAAAATCATTTAGATAGCTGTCAGCTATCTAATATATTTGAAAAATTTAGATTGTGTTAGTAAAAACTAGATTTACCCAAAAGTTGAATGTCTTTGTAGTTAGGTCCATAATTTATTCATAAATGGGAATAAAGCTTCAAGAGTGTATTAATATATTCATTAATCTCATAGAAAGTATTTCCTGGTGTGTTTTTTTTTTTTTTTTTAATATATTAGAATAGCACAAAGATTTTTCTTACAGCTACATGCCTTCAAAAGTAGCAGGATTAAGTATAAAATGTTTTACTCATAAGTAACTCACATTATATTTTTAGTGTTTAGAATTAGGAAATTATAGACATATGTAATATGAACATAAAAACACCCATGCAGATCATCAGTGTGTCCAGTGAACGTGTTTGCATCTCTCTTATATCCTTTCACCCTCAATAAATAATGATCAGGATTTTAATAGAACTAGAAAAATCCTGAATGTTACTACATGCCACAGTTTTGAGATTTTTTTTTACGTTTATTTAATAATCCACAGAATGTAAAATGAGACGATAAAGAATACTGCAAAAACCCCCACCATACTCTAAAATGGATATTATTTTATTATTCTGCCCACTGCCTACAACTGCTATTATTTTTCTTTTTTACTGTCAGTAAAACATATACTAAATCAATCCATAAAGGAAGGGCCGATGATTTCATGGTGTGTATTGCAGAAACAGGAGAATTTGAAAAATTGGTACCAATTATGCCATTTATTCCAGCCTGCATGTGCTGCAGCAAAATGTAGTTAAATGATAAGCTGCTTATACCTCAGAACTGAATGTTAAGTTGCAATACTGAAATTCAGGACCCACTTCTTTAATCTTCTGCAATGTGCATGGGAATTTTATACATTTATGGCTAACAAAGTTAAGTTAAAAAGGCAAACACAGCACTGTGTTTTTTTTCCATTAAAAGAGAAGATGAAAGAACAATTGTTGCAGAGATGTTTGGCCATGTCAGAAGAGGCATTAGATCTACGTCCACAACGTAGACCTAATTTCTGCACCTAACTGGAGACTGGGAAGTTAGCCCAACACTTTCCTTCAGAATGAGGTACCTAAAAAAACTCAGCTCCTGAGTTTGCACCAAACAACATCTTTTCTGTGCTACCATTCTGTGCTATACCCAAAGGAATGGAATGGAGGTGCCTTGTCTCAATTAGCTGAAACTGCTTTGAACTAGAATTACAGTAACATGAAAACATGTATTCCCTTCTTAATTTCTACTTCTTTTTTTTCATACGTAATTACTATTAAATTCTATTATCTGTCCAAGTTGTGTGTTTAATTACATAAATAGAAAACATAACTGACTATAACTTAACGTAAGTTGCTAGCATGTTGCCAAAACAAGACAGTCCAAGTCATCCCGCAGTGCTAGCAGGGATACATGAAGATGAAGTCCCTTTCCAAGATATTATGTGTTACAAATGTCTTAGCAGATATAAGGAGAAAGTCTGCTTGTTTAGCAATGAGCTGTTTCATTAAGTACATTTTTAGAACTAAACTAGACCCTAAGGTTGCCATCTAGGGTGGTTTTACATTTTCAGCCTTTATGCAGAATGTTAATAACACAGTAATGTCTTATGTGGGAAAATCGAATCCATGATCCAGATTCATTTCATATCATCTGCTTTCAACAAATCAAGCAGTGCAAAACTAATCACATTTAATATAGTAATTTGCCCATTGCACAACTTTGAGGAATTGCGAGCATGTTGGAAGAGTGTTTAATCTCTTGTTGTGCCACACTTATAGCTCATCCTGTGGTAAGCAGGATAGGAGAAGATGAAGTGTACTGCAAAATAAACTGCCGTTGCCCCATTGCCAGTTGCTGAAATTACACAGCAGGGCAAAATACAAATAATGCCCCAAAGCAGCCATGTCATTGGAGTACTTTACAGCAACAGTGTCTTACGAAAGTTTGTGGAGGGATGCAAAAGATTTTTTATTCAGAATTCTTAATGGAATCTCATTGGCTGTTCTATCAAATATGTTTGTCAATGTTCTAATTGTGCTGTAATTATTACATCAATAGCTGAAATACTAGTCAAATGCCATCAAAATAAGCCACTTTGGATCTTTATTTAGTAGCAACAGAGAAGATCATAGAATCAAAACTGGAGGGAGGGGATTTTCCAGCAAGTTACAGATTTCCCATATTTTCTTCTGTGGTCTCAAATACTTCTAGGAGCCCTACTTGAGCAGGAGGGGTGCACCAGAGGTGGTCTCCAGAGTTCAACTTTAACCATTCAGCAATTGTGTGTAAAATGCTGAAGGATTTCTGTCAGTTTTGGTAAGGCACAGATTTTAAAGGCATCTTCATGGGATTGAAAATGTGAATTTGAGCTCCTCAAAATAGAAGGAAACATTAGATACTTGCATCTGGGTTAGCTGATCCAGTACCAGCTTACTGGATAGAAGTAGCTTTGTACATACGATAGAATCATGTAATCATAGAATGGTTTGGATTGGAAGGGACCTTTAAGATCACCTAGCTCCTACCCCCCTGCTATAGCAGGGTAGAAACACTTCCCTCTAGACCAGGTTGCTCAAAGCCCCACACAGCCTGGTCTTGAGTGCTTCCAGGGAGGGGGCATCCACAGCCTCTCTTGTCGACCTGTTCCAGCGTCTCACCACCCTCACAGTAAAGAATTTCTTCCTGATATCTAGCCTAAACCTACTCTCTTCCAGTTTAAAACCATTTCTTATTGTCCTGTCACTACACGTCCTTCTAAAGAGTCCCTCCCCAACTTTTCTGTAGGTCTCCTTTAGGTACTGGAAGGTTGTGTATACATACATGTATATACACGTATGTGTCTCTATGCTTTTCTTTTCTTTCAAATGCCTGAAAATAGAAACATTATTACAGAACAAACAGAATTTTAACTTGCATAAAAATTCCTTCATATTAACTGTGAAAAGCCACAATTTGGTTCTTTATGACTCATTTCCAACACACACATTTTTCATTTTGGCTGTGAAAGCAAATACTCAATTATTCATGCAACTCTTTAGAACAGGCTGTAGTTACGACAATGCTGAAAAGCCAAATGTACTTAAAAATGGTGTCTTGGCTGCCTAAGCTAATACTGCACAAGAAAGTTATCATCACCTCTTGCAAAAGCACAGCTTTCCACATGCTGAATCACAAATACTGTGACCAACAGAAACATTTCTGTAGGGTCAGCGTCCCTATGTACATAAATGCGATCTCTGTTGTGTTATCTAACAGTGACTGGAATTCTGTGTGATGCTCATATATCTCTTTTTATGTAAGTGCTGTTGAGTCCTGTAAGCTTAAAAGAAACTGTCAGTTAAGGAATAGAGTCTAGTTAGTTAGTGTTGAAAAACTGAGAGAGATCATATCTGTTATCAAAATGCAGGATACAGTGAGACAGACATTGTCTTACCACCACAATTGAGTAGCAGATGCAAATTCTTGTGACAGAGTTGTTAATAATCCAGAAGCTGTTGTCTTGATTTTAAATAGAAAAGTTCCCCGCTCAGATCAGAGCAAGAGAACAAGATGAGGCATGTGAAGATAATGCACACAAACACATGCTACAGGCATAATACAACGTAATTTAAAAGAGACAGTAGCAACCAAGGCATTAATAATAGATATGGAAATACATCATTGTGTGGCACGGAAATAATACTGTTTGTAAAATTTTAGTTGACTTTATGTTCATTTAAAGATACATCATAGATTGGAAAATCCTGAATCCTAGACCTAGAAATGACATAAGAGTTAATTTTAGGAAAATAAGTGAAAACAAAACATTCATTTAAGCCTGATGAGAATTAGGATCTTTGCATTTTTTGCAAATAAATACATCTGTGTATAAGAACTACTAAAACATTGCTCTGTGTTTCTACGTAATACAGACATACGCACACTGATATATGATTATGAGCAGTCCGAACTAGAAATTATCCATTAGCAAAAGCAATACCAGTTGCTATTCCACCGACTCACTATCATTACTTCTCTTTTCAAAATTCTGACTTTCCAGCAACATAACATTGTGAATCTTCATGCTAAATGGCATCCAATGACCACT